CGCAGAAACTCAAAGGGTTGATAAAACATGAGGGCAAAAGGCATGAAGTACAAGAGGCGAGAATCAAAGTTCCAAATTGAAAATTTATCAATTTATATTGCGTATTATTAATTAAATGGAGAATATGGATGAATTCAAAATTAATTATACAAGCGATAGCAGAGGTATAATGGGCAACCATCGTATTTCTTACAACTGTGCAAATCAAGAGTAAAGCGTTGTGTTATATACAACATATATGCTCAACAAAAATCGACGACACGTCAAGGACGTATGCTTTTAATTTAGGTACACGCGTTTTCAATCAGTTCCACGTCAATATTTTTGCAACAACATGAAAGCTTTTTTGTTTCGCCGGATCGAATCAGTGATCTGGATAAAACGGGTTCCTTTAACGCAATCTTGACATCACGACCTTTGCATGGCGACGCCAACACAGAAGCTGGACAATGGCCATTGTTTACGCGCTCACAGGCGCTGGCATAAAGTTATGATCGTTTGAAATTTGCTCCAGTCAAAATAGAGCTTACGAGCGCAATACGTGGAAGTGGCATCCATTTTCTGTCTAGGTATACAACAGGATTTTAAATAGGGAAAACGACAGCTAATCATTGATGATATTTCTTTCGTTAAGGCAGAATCGCAGGAGGAGGGGCATATATCCTTGTTTACAAAAAGTTTTTGGTAGGTATCATGCTAAAATTTGCATGCATGATAAAAGTTAAGGATGCCTGTCCTGGTTCCAGACTCTTTCGGTCAGGGTCTATTTCAAGTAGTTTCCGTATGCTCAAAAAATAGTAGCTCCGTTTCGGTCGCGCAATTTTATTCTGTCGTGGTGTACGCCTTCCGTCAAATCCGTTTTGATGTTCCATTTGGCATGCATTTTACCAGCAAGCTCCTCGATTCGTTACTATTTGGCATCACTGCCATAGCGAGCGGATCTGAAGTGGAAGGTGATGTATGCATAGGTTTTTGTTAGCTAGATCAATATGCCGTTTTCACACGTGGCTGTTTACCTGTAATTCTGGGTTTAAAGAAACCTTTGCCGTACAGATGCTATAGAAGTTCCCACCGTTGTCTATGAAAGTCACCGTTCTGTAATTACAATAGAGACAATCAAATCTCTATCGTCGCTGTCTTTAGAATAAATAATTTTGAGTGAGACTTCGATGCAGATTTCAATCTTACCTTTGGAGCAAATCCAATTCCATTATATTATCTGATCATAGAAGAAGTCTATTTCTCATGCATGATTTAGTGTCCTCTATCAGCCGCATTAGGTAGCGTACCTAGGCTACTACCCAACTCTCAATTTTAAGGGAATAGGTTAATTTTCGCAAACGACAATTTTTTTTAGCAATTAAGGTTATGACATTCATATTGCGAAGTTTATCCAGATCTCAGTTCAGCATCTGCTATCTCCATTATCTTTATATTCACATAAATATGGACATAAAAGAAACTTAATCTAAAGCCTCAGTTGGATAAATTTCTGGTGGCAGATTTCAAAACTAGGGAAAAATTTTTCGGTTCGCTAAGCTTCTTTGGTAGTTAGTATTAGTACATAGCGACATTTTTGCTCGTCTATTTACATTTGGATTTATTTACGGTCGGGATATCTGTACGATAGCTCGCTATAAGTAAAACGAAAGATTTTATTATTTCTGATGACTTCCTTTTAAATAAAAGTATCAATTAATTCTTTGTTCTACTCCGATTGTTCTTACGAAGTTAGCTAAATAGCATTTTTTATCCGAATACAGATGAAATTAAGGTCTGTCATTTTACCTTTGCATCCACAGCCCTTGCGGCTCAACGCACACCGCCGAAACGTTATAATCAATTTATGAAATAAATATCCTGTTTAAAAAAAAATAAGGCTTTTCAGCGTAATTACTCAGTTTACAAGTGGGATATTTATATTAAATAGTAATAAAATAAGGAACTAGTGAGATAATTCAGAACGTAGAGAGGGAACGCCCACAACCAGCACAATTTTTCTCTTAACAAACCATAATTTCTTCTATTCTGACAATATCACCGTAATACTATGAAACGGCGCAGAAATGACCATAACTAAAAATACAAAAAGTATTATAAAATTATATATACATCGATGGTTCAATGACGATTATTTTCATGAATTTTTTAGTATTTGTGGACCGGTACAGTATCTGTTGTTTAGAGCTATTTTGATGACCCATAATATAGCTGAAAATACAAAAAATATGATAGAAATTATTGACTAGTTTTCGTTTGCCTAATGATAGGAAGACTATTTTTTAGCTGCGTTTACGGCTGCAGGGTACGGTATCTTAATTGGGGCTCTGTCTTACGCCTTGTTTCTAAGATTGTAGTTAAATAAAAACAGATCTTTCAACAACGTTCTTATGTATAGCAGGAGAGTGATTCATGACGGTCATCTAGATTCAATGTATCCCTTCACCTCAATGACAATTTCGATTCGGGACCTAATTGCTTACCAATCACTTTCAGAGTATTCCTTCCTTAATTCACAGATAATTTCTTAATAGTAATCGAGCGTCAAACAACATTGGTAGGCTTAAGCTCGTTAAGATGTCCCTTATAGGGAAAACTCAATTTTAGGCTGATAGCAAACACGATTTCAAGAAATGCAAAGACCAAAAGGTTTCTGAAAAATCAACTATTAATACTTATCGGGACCACTCAACTGGCAAATCATTCGTACGAAGAATCCGAAAATGAATGGTTGTTTGTACCATTTTAATAAACTTGAGCCCTTTAAACCTAAAACCCTCTTCAAAAAAAATAAGCTTCCGGTTGGCCTCGGGTTTTTTAAATTTTGCTTATTTGAAGCTGCATGAAACTTGACAATCACGTAGACTGTCGATTTTGAGCAAAAAATTGTATCTTCGTAGAAGTTCGCTCAGCGCAAAGATATAGATTAATAGGCGATTTTCGTCCAAATTCTGATAACAGCGCATCGTCATTCGCCATGGGATATTTGTTGTTCAGTCGTAGAAAAACTAGTTCTCTTTGAGAACCAAGAACGGCAAGCAAACATCCACTTGTTACGACCGACAGACCCCCAGAGCTTGTTTCAATCATGGTGCCGTGTCCAGTATATACTTAATATCTTCACATAATGATTAACAGCCTAGGCAGTGACGTATGGTTATTAAACATAGCATCATTATTATTGCCCGATGTTTGTGTACTCATAAACCATTCTCCAATGAAATAATAAATTGTTATTTTTAGCAAAAGGTTTTATTTTGCTAGCCGTTTTTGAGCAGGACAAAATTATTCACCTTGAAAAGCTGGTAGAAACTGGCGCGTCTAGCAGTAGGCAGACGTAACTTAGCCGGATGGTGCCTGGAATCGAGTTTGCAAACATAACCATAACATTTATTCAACTACAGATATGCGCTAGCAATTTGTTCGATATGGTGACGGCGGTTCGTATCGAATGGCAGATAAAATATTTGTTGGTATGCAGATTTCACATCTGCTAGCTGGAGCCTGCAGACTGACTACGTGACGGTGGGTTACTGTCAGAATCAATAGGAAATCGTCGCGACACCAGCCGCCAACAACACGCAAAACAGTCAGCTAGCGTCAGTTAACATCGAATCGAACGACATATTGACGTATTGTTTGCCATAGCGATTTCTAAGAGATCTCTTCAGGTTCAGAAGAGATCTCTTGTGAAGGTCCGGTCGATTTGTAGCCTGGGACTGATCTTCGATATCCTCCATGACACCACGGCTGTGCTCGTGGTGGATGATGACATCGGCAGTGACAAGTGTTCCTCCACACGGGCGCCGCGCGAGAAATCCAGACGTTGTCCATACGCGGACAACAAGGCCCTCTGAAGAGATCTCTTGAAACAACGCAACACCTATAGTGGACGTAGAGCCAGGAGTGGGTAGCAACTAGCCGCCGTAGACGTCTTCGTCGCTGAAGAGATCTCTTGTTTCCTGCTCTGGCCAATGGTGGTCCCGTCACCTTGCCTAGATACAGTCTGGCTGGCTAGCTAGCCTGCTAACTTTAGCAAACGTTCCGTGACTGAAGAGATCTCTTCAGTTGGTGAGGCTAAGTGACCTCTTCACCCGAATGCGTTAGGAGTCGAGCTGGCCATTTTACAACGAAGGCGGACTCAGTTAGAGAGAGAGGTAGAGGAGAAAACAGCAAAAAGAAGGAAAGGGCAAGCCTCGCGAACTAAACGGCAAAAATGAAAATCATGATATTCAATTGGACGATATGACGCTATGGTGATGAATACTGTTTATCAATCACAGCTGCATTTGAGATAGATGTGGGGGTGTAAGTATCTGCGGTGGCGCAACGGAGGGCGCTTCTCATTGAAGATTGGAAATTGCGTTACTTATATAGAAATTATATTGGATAGAGTTTATTGGTGTCTTCTTTATTCGAGTGCGCTTGTTGTGGAGTATATGTTATTGGCAGATTAATGCAGAGACATATTTATATCCGTTAATCAATATGAATATAAATGTTACATACTATTATAAAGCAATTAGATGTGTTTGCGTTAATAGAATTCTCCACTATTTTTTGTGTCCGTTTCTAAATTGTGATTGTCAAAAAGGAGCGTGCAGTAACAAAAAATCTGTCAGCCTCTATCCACTCTTAGTGCTTTTCTACTGTCGAAATTGGCTTTTCCCGTTCGGTAGCAGAACAGGTGCCGACATTATTGAACACGCAGCAACAATAGACGGAAATTGAGATTTTTGCTGAATTTCTGCCCAATACAGCTGAGAAAAACTCGCGATATATGCGCCCTATACCCTAACGATTGATAGGCACAATTCATTATTCGCTAATGTAACAGTTAAGCGGGCTAAAGTTGTGCCTATCTTATCTGTACGACACGGAAAAGCGTGACGATAAGCAGAATGCTCGCTACCGATATGCAGTTAATTAGTTGTTTATTTAGTTTTCCCTTTTGCGTATTTGTGTATCATTGCTTGCTGACGTCTTTTTCGTAAGGTCAATTCATTTCTTTTCGTCATCTCGTATTGTACGGAATTATGCGACTCGACATGCGTATTCATATGGTTTACTTCCCTTTGACGGGTAACGGCGCTTGATTCTTTTCACCTTGGCCGCCCACGGAGGCAGGGAATGACTGCGAGCCAACACGGTGCTTGCCCTGTGGCCGCCCATTGCTTACGCTCCTTCTCGCCCAGGGGAATTGCGTTTTTGGCTTGGCTCCCCTATTTTGTCGCTTGTCTCGAGCCGGCAGGCTACTGGATCCCAAGGAATAGCTCGCTCTTTCCACAACCCGTCGCACCTCCGGAGGGTTTGGTGAGATCCTCTCCATGTCCGTCGAGAGTGCGCGGGGCAACCTGACTATTTAGACCGCGCACAGCCGATCAGCAAATCAACAGTCGAAATAGTGAACTCGAGCTTACGACTTGTTGAGCGAAACTAGTTGACCCATAACACCTAGTGGGTTGCCGAAACCACGTGAGGTTGACAGGACATTCATAGGTTTCTTGAGCTAAGTTCTACAAACTGAGGTAAGCGCGAATATTTCGTTGAAAACATTGACGTGTTAGAGCGATTGGGTTTTGTGACTCCGGAAATACGTAGTGCGTTTTTTCGAATGAGCTATTTGGATTATACGTCTGCAGGGTCTGTAGAAATTAATTCGCTTTGCCTCTCCCTGGTAATACGTACCAGGGAGAGGCAAAGCGTACCAATACATAACCCGAAGGCGATGATTCGAACTTTCTTATGGGTCATTGCAGTAAAAGTGGTGATCACATTTGTCTAGAGCGGTAGGGTTTGGTTTGATATTAAAAAGTCAAAAAATTTAGATCGTCTAACGTCGAAATTTTTCCAGCGATCTAATTTTTAAATGCTGAAATTGAGTTGAATAAGAATGTGCTTTCTATAAGATGCGACTAATTGCCGACAATTAAACTGTAATTATCTTGTACGTTCTTCATGTTGGCAGTTTCAGTATGGGCTTCCCACAAGCCATGGAGCAGCCGCAGCTGCTGTATCATATTGATCCCTCATTGCAATACCGGCCCGATGTCAACCCGAATCAGTACAGGAAATACACAATCAACACTGTAAGTTTCTCGTTCGTCGACGAGCAAAGCAATAAATTGACTTATAATACTATGATATTTCTTAGCTCTTTGCCGCTGAACGGTGTTTTTACCGAGGCGTCGCAAATGGCGTCGTTGTTGTTGAAGCAACTTTAGTGCCGTATTTTGTGACATCATTTCAATCTGATTTCTTCCCTTTACTCGTCCCGAGCCAGTGACCAAGCAACGGCCGAATGAATTTGACTTCAGACCAAAAGTATTTCGCTTTCTGTCCCCGAATATCCTGTAACTGTGCTCACACGTTGAGTCTTTGCATCATTTGCCTTTGGGGTCGATTTCTACTAATTCGACGAAGCATCAGCGCTAAAAACAATGACAATATCTAATACTCTTTAATAAAATAATTTTACTCGATAGTTTAACGAGGTCTTCCTAGCACCAAGCCTGTTTCAGACAAAACACTATTTCCAAAAAACAGTATCCAGTTTGGAGAGTAGCAGTAAAAGATTAATTATCTTAGTAAGGTAAACGTTCGTTAGCAGTTCTTGATGTTCCACGGCCGGATTAGCTAGTTACGGCTACAAAATATCACTATGGGATACGTCGAATATCTCCACTTCATCCATTCGAAGTTTCGCTCTATCTACAAATCATTTCATTTTTCAAACCTTGATTTGCAATTGCTGCCTGTAGGAAGATCCGGTTCAGAAGCGAGTCTTCGAGACCTACTTGAAGATGCACACGTACCAGACGGTGGATTTTGTCATGAAAAAGCGTGAGGAATACGGCCGTTTCGATAAGGTAACTACTTTTGCGATGCGGTTTTGTTGTTGTGGCACGCACATATCCGAAAGATCACTTGGGCGTCGTGAGAACTTCTTCTGAAGAATTCGATAATAATGATCGATACTCACCCAAGCAGGTATCATTTGAGGTACATATATATATATATATATATATGAAGGCACACAAATCTAATTTAAACACAAATCTAATTTTATCTCATCATTAGATCCGTATGCCCGTTATGAAAGCACTGGAGAAGCTGAATGATTTAATTGACGAGAGTGATCCCGACGTCGATATGCCGAACATCGTTCACGCCTTCCAGACCGCCGAAGAGATCCGCGCTAAGCATCCAGAGCAGGACTGGTTCCACCTTACCGGCCTAATTCACGACCTTGGTACATAGTATATTTTAATGCGAAATATCGCAATCTCTGTGCTTAGATATACTCAAACTGAAATTTGGGTTAATCTAAAAGTCGCCTTGCTAAACGGCCACTATGAATCTGCACTGAATTTTTCAACGAATCTACAACAGTATAATACGCTTCCCTTGGCTTAGCGTACCTGACATGTTTTCATTGCTTTCGCCGATGATTCGCTTAACGCGCAGAGTTTTGACGCTTCTCTAACACCCCCGTAACTTCATTTATCTACTTTGTGGTATTCATTAGGCAAGGTGATGGCGTTCTTCGATGAACCACAGTGGGCGGTCGTGGGGGACACATTCCCAGTCGGGTGCCAGTTTGCGAAGTCAATCGTCTACCGGGACTTTACTTTTATCCTTAACCCGGACAGCGAGAACGAGAAGTTCGTATCCATTGTATCTCTTTTGTTTCCAAAGTATAGAATCGCTGATAAAGACTAGCTAAGGTTAGTCAATAACATGCTCTTTAATCGTGCTTGCTACTTCCGTACTGTTAAGCCGATGATGGAAGACGTATCTACGTCTGATATTTGGTCGTTTTGTATCTGTCTCCAGGGCAATGACCCCGGCTAGATAAACGCTAGAGTACGTTTATTCATTTTATAAAGGCGATAGTATTGGTCTATAAGATCATATTACCATATCATATCTTTTGCCTGCTTTAGCTGAAATTTGACAAAACGGCTTACTCCGGGTAGGTGAACCGGTGATGAGGACGCCAAATAATTACCAGCAGAATCTCATTTTGTCCATTGCTAGCGAATTTCAGATGATGTATATCTGCCTTCAAAGCAACAAATGAATAGGGCACCTGTCTATCTATGACCCAAGTTACCGCTGGACTAAGATCATTCTCAATTATAAGCGTTATTAGAAGGTGACGCCTCCTAGGCGTCGCTCTATTCGACTTAGATACATCGAAATATGCCAAATCGCGAATTATTGTCTTTTAGGTACAACACCCCATTGGGCATGTACCAACGCAACTGCGGTCTGGAAAACGTTCTAATGTCGTGGGGACATGACGAGTACATGCACATGGTTCTCAGAAATCATCCCCGATGCACTCTGCCCGAAGAAGCCTTCTACGTTATCCGGTTCCACTCCTTTTACCCTTGCCACACTAGTAAGTCTATACTGTTTAGTCTTATAGTCTAGTTGATTCAACTGTGATTGAGCGATGAAAAAGTCAGCTAGGCTTATAGAAAATGTTTACCCAAAAACTGGCAAGCCAAGCCCTCGTCAAGGGAAGCTCACAGGGTTCATCATCATTGTTATGCGTTTGCGGCATCTCTCGCGGGAATGTTATCAGCGAAGAAATCCCACATTTGAATTTATCGGCTCTAATGTTACTTATTATCGCTTACAGGCGGTGACTACGACTATTTGTTGACTGACAAGGACCGTGAAATGCTCAAGTGGGTCCGTGAATTCAACAGATTTGACCTTTACACCAAAACCGATAATGTACCAAATATCGATGAGCTGATGCCATACTACCAGGGGCTCATCGATAAGTACATCCCGGGCGAGGTGGCCTTCTAAGCTGGACTCGAGGATGATATCGACGTATGTCTGTGTACACAGCTGCGTACGCCTCAAATGAACGCGAAAGGACAACACGGTGTGGGCAAGGAAACAGTACAAACTACCCGGCGAAGTAAAGCATCAGCGCTACACGACGCAGCTGGCCTAGTTTGGCCTCGGGACTCCACCTTGGACAGTCGCGTTTGCGATAATATCCGGTTGTGTTAGCCCTATCTTGCCTGATAATGTACATACAGTTAAAATAGGAACGCCACTACTGCCTGTTACACTTATCCGTTATATAGAATTTGTGTATATACAGTTATATATGGAGAAAGACACTTCTGAGCCTGTTTTAAGGCGGATGGCCTTTGATATGCCAGTAGTACGATAAGCAATGCGGGTGATTAATAAAACAAAATGCGTTTCAGTGAAAATTAGACAACCGATGAGTTTTCCCCTGTTCTATTTTCTGTTGTTTAATCAACGATACCTAGCAAGATTATCAATGGAAGACTGTTGAGTAGAATCCAATCAAACTCGAGTGTAAAATGCAGGTATCGACCAATGGCGAGCTTAGTGCTTTCATCTATATTTTTTAAGATCACTAGGTAGGCAAATATGGGAATTTCTATAGGGGATCTAGGTGATATGTTGCAGCTTTGCCTCGTACAATTATGTTGCACCTAAAAACAACTCCAATCCATTTTAATCTATGCTCTGTTACCACGAGACGGCTGTATTTCAAAGCAAACTAATTATCTGGCTAAAGCTGGCGTCTACGAGCTAAATTTCCCGCCATTGCAATTGGTTACGGGAACTATTGAATTTTTGCAAGAACAACCAAGCCAATAAAAGAACTGTGTGACAGGGTCGCATGATGTGTGATTTATATAAAACAACGATGTATTGTAATGGCCTAACGGTGAGTACAATTGGTAGGTTAAGACATAGATCACGACGAATTATTTCGAATAAGGTCCTGTTATGAATGAAGCTTTTCGACTATTTTCGTTGTTCGGCGAAGTCACATTAACTACACGTCCCGATAAGAGAATCTACTATGTCACCAGTATGCAATCGAGCCATGTTCCTTGAATATTATCGTGTCGTTTATATAGGCACAGCCGTATTGTGCAAAATTTTTCCACACCTAATATTCGCTAAGGACCAATCGAGGACATGTGAAAAAATGCGTTCATTGGATCAGCGCCTTCTTTTCCAATGTAACCGTGATGGCTAGCATTAAAATTGAGTTGAAACGATGTTCGCAGAAGTCATTCTGAAGAAAAAAAAAAAAAGATTTTTCTTCAGAATTACACATCAAAGTTTTCCTCGGAAAATTGTAAGTCTTGCAGTGAGTTTCACCTGTATAAAACACGTTGATTGAACTATCGAGGTGGTCGAAAGTATACATTGCGCTCTGGCCAAGATCTAATCGTTGCGAAGCAGATACGCGACAGAAAAAGTAAGCTGGTGCTGGCAACTCGAAAGCGAAACGCTGCGAACAAACAACTTTGCATGCCTTCAAGATGCTTTCCTGAATAGGGCCAAACAGAATAATGTTTTGAATGGAGATCGTTTTATTGTATATAATCGAAAAGTACTACGCCACGAGGTACCTAACGTTTTACGTCATTGGTTTTTTATTTTGTTAACTTGCGATTAATATCTAACCTCTAATCCCTGCCAGTTATATAGTAGACTGTTTCACTTTATAATTTAGGGTGTACTGATATAAATAGAAACCTATAATCGTATCGCTATTACTCACTGCATAGGGCCCGTTTGTACAGCAACACCATCTAGATAATCGCAAGTGTAACTAGTTGTTCTGTTATGCAGGCATCGGAGGCCTGGTGAGAGCGTCGGAGTAAAGGACGACATTGAAGGCCTCAACCCGTGCAGATTTTGGAAAGCAGCGGTTCCGTGTTCCCAGGGTAAGCATACTGCTAGAGACCCTATGTTTGCTGTTTGTTGAGGTGAACTTTAGTATGGATCACTGAGGGATAAGGAATGATCGTTCATGGCTGTACTGAATGACGGAAGAGGGGATAGACGCCTATGCCACTTGCGTTTTTGACCCAGCTGTAATAGGTTTGAGCGTAAAAGCTACTCTGTGGGTTATCTGTTAGAACAAACATAAGAGCTGTAACCAGGTTCGTCAATGTATAAAACCGAACAATCTCGTTCAAAAAGTGATTTAGCTTCTAACAGCATCTCTACCATACCATTACATACAACATAAGCTTAAAAAAGGATTGTGGGTATTGTTCGAACTCCTGTTGTTAAGCGTCTTATCAGCGAAGTGAAAATAAAGCACTCCATAGAAAAACCCCTTACTCGGCTGAAGCGGTGCGTGTATGCTACTGGGGTAAAATAATGTGGTAAACGTTTTGATGTAGAGAGTTTGAGTACATCATGTAGCAATAACCCAACAGCAGTTAGGCTCTGTATTCTACGATAGCTGACATTTGTAGATGCGTTTATCGGTCAAAAAAAATTGCCACTGTCAAACTGCATGCGAAAATGGCAGAGTTTAGTCGTTTCCAGCTACGAAAGAACACTACCAGAACAAAATGTCGCATCGGGAAAATCTTATTTGTCCGAATCATCCGCGCTGGTTCTTTACAAATTTAGTAACAAGATTAACGTGTTTCTGTTTTCCAATTGAAGTTTCACGTAGATCTTTTACACAATAAACCGCTTTATTTCAATATATTACCGTAATTATTAGTACACGGCTGTACAAATGTACGGATGAGATAAGTTTTATTCTTCAGTGAACGCAACACGGCCTTAGAATGGGGACTGTTGTCCCGGAATTGTTCCTTTGTCAAACGGAAAACGATGGCGAAAAAATCATCCGCAAAAATGCCCCCGAAAGTCTTTAATTGACTTTAACTGCTACGTTCATATTTTCTAGCTGAGCGCGATTTGAACTGAGTGCGTCGACACGAGCGTGGACTCGCTTTGTCCTGGCCCCATTGGTAATCGACTGTCCGACAACCGGTTTCAGTGTCCAATCCTTGTTTGTTCTCATACGGAACCTATATCACTAAATCATGTGATGGCACGATTGATGAGTTCAGATGTAATTAGCTCTGCAAAAAACTTATTGATAAAAACTTATTGGTTTAACATAAGATTGACATGGTGCGTTTAACGTTATTTTGTCCCGCGGCCTTCAACTTACACTTCGACCTACTGCTCTGTAGAGCAATGACGGAGCTTCAAGGTGATTACGAGCCAGCTGGTTATTTGTGGTCCATTAAAGAGATTTGTTTCTAACTCTCGATTATATATATATTTAAACTTAAAGCATTCAAGCTATAATAAAGTGTTAGGTCTTGGTAGTCTTGTATGTTTGATAATACCTTTATCATGTAGGAATCGTTCACGGCGGCTTCATCAAGGCTATCCTCAGAGCACACGGTAATGGAACGAAATACGCTTTCTGTAAAGTTAACAAAGTGAGTATTTAGCAGTGAAGGTGTTCCTGACACGTAACTCACTTTTAGATGAAACCAACCACTTTTTCTTATTCTGGATTCACTGCGGGAAAAGGTACCGCTTTCCCAGTCAGCTGTTAGGTAGTCTAAGGTCAGCCCCTATTCTCGCTAATGAACTCGTCTTTTTAATGTCTATAATTTTTTTGATTTAGATGGCCGTTCTCACGATTTTGCCTGGCTCTGGAATGAAGGCCTATTTGACTTGAAAATTTTTAACTTATTTTACGCCTCCTTTTGAGCCTGCCAACGCCGCCTTCCCGATCTTACAGCTACGTTCAGGTTACCCGAGCTTAGCTAGAGTGCAAACTTCTAGTTACATTATGAAACAATCGGATCATTAGTGAATCAGAACGAAAAAAGCATGAGTTTTTATATGGATGAATGTCACATGTCTTCGATGTATCGTTTACGTGATATGGTGTAAAAATCGGCTGGTTCTATAAAACCTAAAACCCGTATCCTATATTATAAAAACATATGTATACATATATACTTGTTTATCGATAATAACGTTGTCGGAGAGTAAACGAATCTGGTCGGGTAACGCACCGCAACAGCGCGAGCAGTCTAAAAGACAATTAGTAGTTCGATGAAAACGTTTATTTTATGGCAGCAAAATTGTCAAACCAAGCTATAGGAAGAACGAAGAGGATTCTAAGAAAAAAAAAAACTAGAAAGTATTAATAGGGGAAAAATCTCAGTAAAGCACAAAGTAAAATAACGACATACGGGATGATAATAATAGGTAAGAATACAACGATCATCGGTGTCATGCGATATTATATATATATACTATTATAAATCGGCTAATGTTAGAGCATTCAGAGCATATTAGTTAAGAGAAGAGAATATGTGCTCATTGATGTACACGTTAGAATTCGACACCTCGAGAGCTCATCGGTGGAGTTCTCGAGGTGCATAATCTTTAGAAATTTGCGCCTGTATCATTAAGGTCGTGTACTTGCAACAATACACATAGAATCAGTCACAATGGTTCGTTCGATTGATACTCAACAGGTATGACGATGTAAGTAAAAGATTTTAAATTGCTGTTATTGACATCGTTCTATATCAGCATATGCACAAACATATGTATGTATGTATGTATGGAAGTACGTGTAGAAAAAAATAGTCGTACAACAGTATAATTTAGGGCTCAGTTAGTACATCAACCTGATGCTTTCCATATATAAGTTGTCAGATTTGAGTTCATTTTGTACCAGCAAAATGGGCAAACTAAAGAAACATCTGCCACATTGAATGTGTGCCGGAATATGATAAGATCTAGGTATGAAACGAGGGGGGGGGGTCGATGTAGGCAAGCGATTTTCAATAGTCGACAATTTTCTACAGCATCTTGCAATAGTTTGCGGACGTTTGTGTAGCCAGCTTTTGTGCGAAACCTCTAAGCTATCACGAGAACTAGACAATTCGAAGTAGTAAATTAAATCTTCTTAATAATTCTTAATCTTATTTTTTGCTTCTGTCAGTGACGCAATTAACATTGTAGCAGTCAAGTAAGCCTTTATATGGCTACTGTGTACGAGCAGTGTTGAATGAATTTCTATAACGGATGCTTTATCATGCAAAAACACAATGAATATTGCATTCGCCGTTAAATGCTTGGGCTTTTTTTAAATCGCTGTCCAATATTGCATCAGATAATCCCTAATGTATTGGACCCGTTCTGAAAGGAGGTGTCTTTCACCAAAGAGGCTATACAGTGACCAGCCAAAGAGAAGTGTCAGTAGTACAAAAGTGCACTTATGATTTTTAGCTTGAATTTTCAGAGTCTGTCCTAGCTAATTCTTTTCAGCTAGTCATTGAGCTTTTTTTATTTGTATAGTCTCACTGTTAAAGCACCGATGCCAGCGCGTTAGCTCGTGAGACGATTTTGATCAGTCTCGTTTAACCTGCGCACTTCAGTACTACGCCATTGGACGATCGTATGTAACGCCTTGTTGCCCCCTGTGTGACCACATAGTGACCTTTATTAAACAAATCCCTTTCCTATTTGCTTAGCCTGGTAAGATTAACAGGATCGTTACGAACTCCACTACTACAGTTAGCAGACATTAGTGCCACAGTCCCCGCTAGCCAAACGGGCTTGTTGTGTAAACGGAAATCCCTTAATAGACGTTATTTTATCGTGTCGGTTGCTGCTTGCACGGGTCCGTATGCCACATAGAAATGTCAAGCCGCTCCCAGTGACGGTATATGCCACTTTCGATAGGTGTGCCAGCGTCTGCCCACAGCGGTCTCCGGAGGTAAATGAACTAAAGTGTGCCCAAGTACAATAGCTAACTGATCCTCACAATCGACTTACAAACATCGCCTAATATTCTTTCGGAAAGAGTAGCCGGCAAGCGATTTTATTCCAACCGGTGGACCTTCTAAGCTATAGTGCACAATGCACAGATAGTGTATCGGCAAGGATACCAATATGTCAAGCCAGAACTATCAGCAACGACGAAAGAGAGAGATCGACTCTCGAACATAGAGAACGGCTGTCAATTACAATCGTGACAAAACGATGGAAAAACATCACTTGAAACAGAGGAAAGCAACGATCGGCAGCACATCACCCCCTAAAAAAACGTGAACGAAAGGCTCCTGGACGCGTCTGCCATGGCAAGGTCACCGTCGGTTCGACTATTCTGAACGTATTAGTTACACATGGTGCGCGATAGTGGTGTGTGTTCTCAGACTAGACAACGATTGGGGACTAGTAACTAGCGCATAAAGGGAGTGGAACGAGATCTTTTTTCGTCCTCGAGAAATCCCTCAGGTAGGTTAAGAACCGTGCTCAGCCGCAACAGGTCATGCTAGGCGTGTCGCCGATACGTCTTGTGTTGAGCGACTGTTATTCCGAAATAAGCCTTACGAAAGCGTAGATGCTCGGTGTGACCGCACACCGCTTCAGTATAGAGAAAATCATCATATAAGGTAACATCATATAAGGTAATTGATTTATTTACATCGTGGCAGAAATAGGTCTTGCGTAATTGTCGATACGTTTACACAGATGGCAAAATTGGCGAATAGTGAAACGCTAGCAAAAATTCGTATGTTAGATGGGTAGATTGTATGAAGACGTTTCGACACCTTTGCTATTTTCTTGTCTCGGCAAAATACTATAAGCTCATTCGTACACGATCCAGGTGGTAGCCAGCTGTTCACTGGCCTCCCTAACCTGACGAGCAGAATAGGCTAAACAGGCTAGTGCAATAACAAAGGTCGCGGTCGTTACACCGTTCCTAAACAGGATTTTACATGGTAAGCTGCCGTTTCAAATTGAAAAAGGTTGCCATTTGAGCTGAACCCGGTGAGCATAAAGCGATTACTATTGCTCCCTGTGAACTTGCAAGGCTATATCAGTGATAATTTTTTACTCTTCACACATATAAATACGGTAATAATTCGATTTTGTAAAAAGCTGGACTACATTTGAGCTATTCTAGGCTACCATACCAGAACCAGAAGGTCGCAGAACAAAGGAATGCGTTACAAAAACCGATAGCGTCTTAAATTAGAGATAGCTATAATTTGTTTCAAAACTGTTTGTGGAGCAAAAAAAAAAACTATTTACACTTACATCTTACTCGCTAGAACGATTTGCAACGATTCAGAACCTAGCTGATCCTGTCGCAAGTTGTGTTAACGCGATCAAAACAATTAGTACTTGCTAACAGTGACTTACTGACAGGCCGGTCACCACAGGGATTTCCTGATCTCTTTGTTTACGTGCTTCGTGCTGTTCATCCTCTGGAATAATGATGGTTTAATAAATTCTAGAGACAAAACAGAGAAGACGGATTTTTGCTTTATTATAATTCTTCTATCTTGACATTATTCGCATCCTGTAAATTCATGTATATGCGAACCCAAGTCCCGGCGCAAGCGTTTATGCTCGAAACATACACACACACACACACACACACACACACACACACACACACACACACACACACACACACACACACACACACACACACACACACACACACACACACACACACACACACACACACACACACACACACACACACACACACACACACACACACACACACACACACACACACAGACACACACACACACACACACACACACACACACACACACACACACACACACACACACACACACACACACACACACACACACACACACACACACACACACACACACACACACACAACACACACACACACACACACACACACACACACACACACACACACACACACACACACACACACACACACACACACACACACACACACACACACACACACACACACACACACACACACACACACACACACACACACACACACACACACACACACACACACACACACACACACACACACACACACACACACACACACACACACACACACACACACACACACACACACACACACACACACACACACACACACACACACACACACACACACACACACACACACACACCGAAAGTAGCTACAAATCTTCGTTCACTGTGTCACATTCTATGAGACGTTCACTAATGTTTCACTCAGTACTCACGCAGATTGTTGATAAGGTCGACAGCCATAGATATGATTAAATCGGGTGGAGCATGAGTCAACAACTTACTTGATCGACAACTTTACGCCTGTTTACCTATAAGCTGTGGTACTTCGTCGTATAAGCTAACGTACCTAGCGTTATAAAGTCGCGTATGCCTAACCTTGAACACAATAGTTGCTAATGTTGCTTGCTAATGTTTGATTAGGTCTTTCTAAACTCATTCAGACGAGTATGCCGCAGACATATCCGACGGCACTCACTGTGATCAGGCCTGTATTGAGCACAGCGGCGAAAACAGGTGTTATAACATCTGAAATGTTCAGACGTAAACTGAATACCTAGCTTTTCTCAAGATGTTAATCGCGAGAGTTTGAATATTCAACTCGCAAGTAGAGAATATAACTAAATCCGTTCTCTTTGTGGCTTGATACGGAACTCCGATATGTTTGAAGCGTACAAAGGAACACAATGAACCCAAGGGATCACAGCTATGCGCCGATACGCTTATCAGCCGATTAAGACGTCAGCGGTTCTTACCGCCTCCCTCCCCCTCCGCCCCCACCAGCTGGAACACTATTGTAAGACTTCAAAGCGGAGGAACAACGACAATATTTCGAACATGGCTTCATAGAGTTAGCAGAAAGGAAGAGACGATTGCCAAGTGGACCGCAATTCCTACGTACAGCTCAAGTGTGTGACCTCACCCCGGACGTTATAAAACGGCTGAACCGACCAGGCGGGGGAATCGACTGGTTCAAGACACTATGCGTCATAGGGGGCGCATACTTAACTAGTCTAACTTTTCCGGTCCCGAAAGCAGCTAGAACCGTAGAGGGAACAAAATTTTTGAAGTAATGGCTGAAAGAAGGTGACTGCTATGCGGGAAATCCCCCGATAAACCAGCTGATGAAATTTTCTGTCACACGGCAAGGGCATAGCAGCTAGAAGCAATGATTACTAGAGGGTTTCCGAGAGGAAAGGAAAATTTTGACTAAGTAAGGACCGAATGTCAGAAAAAATCCAGGGCAAGTGTACATAGGCGTTGCAAATTTGTTGTCGGGAGACGCGAGAGGACGCTTCGAGCGAACGGTAAGGCGCTGAAACCGAAAGGTGACTCACACGGCAGGCGTCTGCCATTCTCTCAGATGAACACGTAGTGCTGTTTGATAAAGAAGCATAAAAGAGGAACTGAGAATTTGTGGATAACGGTCTCGATTATTATAAGACCAACAGTAAAGGTTCGATTCACATTCGGCGCACGTAAAACAGGCTCTACTTGGATATAAATCGGCCGTGCGCAAATAGGATTCCTTTTTTCGAGCTACTAATTTTCTCGATACTGCGACAGCAACGTGCTTTTTTAGCAATAGTGATAGTTTTCTTAAAAATAAGTGGACCAAAAATAAGTGGCCCTGAAAAAGTAAAATTGACAATGAATAAGTTCTGCGTACCCTAATGGCACTCCATTTAAATAAAAAATTATCATAAGGATCAAAAAAATTATGCTAGTCAATTCATGGTCAATTCGGCTGGTAAACGTCGATACGTTGTTTTTTTTTTCAATTTTCCAGGCAAATAATGGGGCCGATCATCAGACTCAAAAACTGTCGGGTACTGCGTGGAAGAAAATTTCAACATGAAGACCTATTTGTTCAGGATGGAAAAATCATCAACTACCTGAGAGTAATACATGGTTATCTTAGCATGTGAAAAGTTTACTTTGCGTGATTTTGCATTTAAAAAAAATCATACTGTTACGTAATTAGGTTTACCTAATTATATACAACCTAAGAAGAAGCGGCATTGACACATTTGTCTGATATTCTTAGACCAACCTTGTTCTACTCAATAATTATCTTGAAAAGTAAACTGAGAGAGAGCATATGAAGTTTTTTTGTGTCTTGCACAAGCAGGTTTTCTATGAGCAGAAACGGAAGCCCGACACTGTGATCGATTGCAAGGGGCACATTATCGCACCAGGGTTTATCGATCTCCAAATAAACGGTGCGTGGTCAAAACAAGTGTCTCAGATTAACGGATAGGTTTGAGCAGGGTGTTGTTTAGGTCAAGTAGAATTCTAAGATTCTAAGACTCTAAGATAATTCGAGGTTTCCTCATGTGGCTTATTCTGGTCTTGCGGAATTTTATGATGAAAACGGTAACTTTGATTTTGTTATTTCGTCATTACCATTTTTCCAGGTGCCTTTGGATACGATTTTTCGCATAATAACGAAACGGTCTCCCATGCTGTTAGTGAAGTAGCACGAGAATTGCTACCATCAGGGGTCATCGGTTTCTGCCCCACGTTGGTCAGTTCTCCACCAGAGGTTTATCAAAGAGTTCTGAAGGCAATAAAGAAAACCCAAGGCGGCAAGGATGGCTCGGCCGTTCTTGGTTAGTAGCTTTATACAAACTATAGATCTTTACATGCATAGAATAATAGTTGGACAAATTATCCTCAAGAAACGTAAGGCGATTTGATTAAATCAATTTATGTTGACCTACTTTGGCGTCCGAAAAAAACGTCTACGCAGATTAAATAGTGTTTATTCGTATTTAATTTTAAACTTTTTCTTTAGAAATTCGCAAGTATTACCTTTCTGGCGGATTGCGGCGGGCCATTGATTTACGAACTTCAAAGAACATTTGATTTGGTTACCTAATTAGGCGCTGAAACCTTCGTGTCTTTGGTTTTTTGGAGTAGACTCTATCCTGATAGGAAAAATCTATTGGCATCAGCTCTGAAGAATGGGCGAGATATTTTGTACGAGCAATCTATTTTGAAAGAAGATGAATATCTTTTTTATATAATATAGATGGATGTGCTTCTATACGATAGGGTCAAACCAGGGCACGTATCAAGGAACCTGCTTCATAATAGAAGGTTGGCTACTCTTGGCTGCTTTTCTGATCAGATGTTTTTCCCATATAACAGCTAATCATTTCACAGCTGGTATAACGAATATTTTTTTTTTACTTTTAAAATATGCTACATAATGAAGTACATAAAATTAAGCCATTTTGATGGGTTGAATAAAGTGCAATACCCTCAAATAAAGACTTTCTTGCTGGGAAGCCTAATGTTTTTCTTATTAGAGGGTTCTTTTTAGTAGCAATCGAACGTTTCTGCCGAGCTGAAATGGGATGTATTTCTGTGCTGTTTAAAGGGTAACAATTTAACATGGCGTTTACCGTAAGGAGCTGTCTATTGTTCCAAACCGATGGACCTGCACAAGCTGACTCGAATAGAGTACATATCCTCGCACCAAAAATCGATATTTTCAGACGAAAAAACAGAAACACAGTACAGTATTTTCTATTTCCTTGGAGTGAAAATGCGTTTAGGGTGTTTTTGAAATAAAACATTTGCTGAGAACAGAGTCAATACATTACATATAGTATAAACAGAGAATAGAAAACCTTAAACCTTATCTTGATGTTTTGGGAACAGAGTCACTAACTTAGTTGGCTGTGGATAATCCCCACTGAGATGTCTGCCGACAGTCGACTTTATTCACGCGGGTCCTAGAAACAAAAGCAATTGAAGGTAACGTCTGGAAGGGGTCGGCCACAGGTCGACCCAGTTAATAACGTGTGTCATTGAGGCTTCGGCCGTCAGCCTTCAACCGATATGTTGGCTCTGCGGCCGCAACGTTGCCGGACGTGCTGGTCCGGCCGAGCCTATTTGCGTATCAGCCAAAAATAAAGGCAATAAATGTTGGCCACCCTATTGACATGCGTATGAGAAGTAATCAATAGAAAAGGCCATCTCCACAAAATTGAATAAACACCGAATATATATCAAAAGCAGCACAAACGAACGAGACAATGATTTTTATCTTGGCTAGTTTTTCTGAATGCGTCACAAACGAATGGTGTAATTTTGTCTGACACGTCGCACCACATTAAAGCTTCCGGTAAATTTCTGCTACATAGGGACAAAAACAGATCTGTTTTGTGTAGGTTAATAGAGCCGTTCCCGATAGTGGTTTATTCAACATAATTATCATTCGCGGCGATTAAATCTTTAGCCGCAACCTAAATTTTGAATGTTCTTTTATCTTAATTAATTGTGCATCAAACAATATAGGTAGGTGTACATTTCTTTTAGGTAGAACATTGTTGAAATACGACACAGTAAATACACTAAAAATTCCGCCGGAATTAAATTTCTGCGCCAACGGTCTCAAAAATACAAAAATAAATTAAAAAAAAAAAAACATGTACAGAAAGGCGCGAAAAGTCTCAAAAAGATTAACTAGAGCTTACCCAAGCGATCAATCCCTCCAAAGCAGCTGCTCGTTTCCATATACAAAAAATGAGGTGCACCAAAAATAACTCTTTGTGCAATTTTGATGGAATTCTCGAGCGCTTACTTTTAACTTTCTCCCCCCCGTTTGCCTTATAGATTTCCTTCTCAGGTTTTTTTGGAAATAGCATGAAGATGAACATTATCGGGCAAAAAAAAAGTTTGTTGTTCTGGTGACGGTGTGTGCGACGCAAAGGAACCAATAGCTGAGTTTCGTTTAAATATAGAGTATAAAATCTATATAAAAAAAATAAAATGTAAATAAAAAAAGTTTGCTGTTTTATTCTAGAAAGAGTTGAAATTTTTTTGGCGCCAAGAATAGCGGATGGCCGCATGCCCCGAACGACAAACAACCCAACGAAGTTTGACCGGCTTCAAACGGTGAGCCGCAGCCGAGAAAAAAATCACCTGATACATAGACACTGTTCATCACACAACGGTTAAAACAGCAAAAAATACGTAAATAATTGCAATCGAAGGAAAACTTCACTGTGTACCACATCTATAATAGGGAACCCTAATACCACACAATTTCTATAATACATAAGATATAGTGCAGTTCGTTAGCGCTTAACGACCTTATCTAATCGTATCTAACTAATATTTCACAGGGGTATTGGCACATCTCCGTAGCGAAATATTTTTGTTCCTTTCGGATTCTTTGCTAAGAGGACAGCAGAGCAAACACGGTCCGAACCTTTTCATCTGTTGTAAAACTCTTGATAAATAGTTTTGAGATTATATATATAGATCTCAGAATCTTCAGATTTCGGCAGATTTCAAAACTAAATTGCTAGTTATTGGGTACGAGAAATGTTCGTATACAGGTTTTATACAGAAGCTATCGTATCTACCATTCTAGAATTCAAAAAGGCCCAACAGCATGTCAAAGAAACTCTCTGAGAGAGACACTCTGCAACTGTTATTTTGAGCTTACGCCCATCGCCTTTCGCACGTTACTCTGTTGTATATGAATATCGAAAAAGCACACGCCCTCGTTTATGCACTATTTAAAATTTTGCAGTTATTCAAATCTTACTGCTCTACGAACTTTTCTTTCATAAACACTTGTGTAAGTCAATAGCCCCCTACCGTGCGTAACACAGGTCAAACATTTCGGTGTGATCATCTAGTTTGACTACTACAAAGAGTTGTCCATACACTGAGAGCTTTTCCTATTTTCCGGACATGTCCTGGGTGTATATATGCGAGGCTGCAGAAGCGCATTAATAATGGGGGCCACCATTCGGACAACGACATGAGACTGTTAGAAGGCGCTTTGATATTGGTTGTATCGTCGTTGTACCTACTGGACTTTATAACAAGAACTATAGGGATGGTATTAGGGTGACTCCACTACAAATGTGTTGTACAGTTAAGTAAGATGCGGCAAGTTGCGCGTCTCTTGGAATGTATGTGGAACAAACTCTCTAACTGTTAAAAGACTTTTGATTCATCCTGTATATAAACAATCATTATGGATTACTTAATGAACAACCACTTTACAGGGCTCCACTTGGAGGGTCCCTTCATCGCTATGGCCAAGCGTGGCGCCCATAACCCGAATCACGTGCGCGATCTTTCCGGCGGTATAACCGATCTGCGGGAGGTTTATGGGGATGACCTTTCATCTGTTGCCATTGTGACTCTCGCCCCTGAGCTTGATCCAAGTGGAGTAGCCATACAGCATCTGATTCGCCAAGGTGGGAATATATACAAAGTCATATTTTCAAAATTATGATGCATAATCTTTCATCCTTTCTGAAGCCAATATTGTTACTCTTCATGACATCTTTTGAATTCGCAGCTTCCTAGTGGTTCATCCTCTATTCCCGTGGAGGAGCATGTGGTGCAAACGTAATTAAAAGGTCGACTCGCAAGGTTTACAGACCTTCTAACTGAACTCGACTGTCATTTTTTCTGAGATAACTTCGGATTTACACTGAAATCTACAACGTGGTGTAAAAGTGTAATATTGACGAAAAAAATTTGATCTATAATGTGTGTAAAGTGCGTGCACTGGCATTTGTAATTTTCACTATTTCATCTATACAGCATACAGATTCAGCAAAATTATTAGGATATATTATTATATTATATATATATATATATATATATATATAATAAAATTGTAATAATGTAATAATAAAAAAAAATTATAGAATCTATAAAAGTTATTTAGAGACACCATTAATTAGCGGATGTTACATCTGCGAATTACGTCAGTTACGAGCCATTCACGTTTTCCAGGTATTATTGTCTCGCTAGGTCATTCGATGGCGAGCCTTGAACAAGGACAAACCGGAGCGCGACACGGTGCAACCTTAATTACTCATCTATTTAATGCAATGCTTCCTGTAAGCAACAGCTGAACCTCGCTAGCTATTCGAAGATCACTTTCGATTACATACCTATGCGTAAATGGGAATTACTTTACATACGGAAGGACGCCACGGAACATCTTCAAAAAATAGTTCAATTTCTCCTCGTAGTAAACGCTTTTGCATTCAGTCAGATTTGTAGGCATCGTAGGTGCCTAAAGGCTGACAATGCACGATATTAGTGGTCAGATGTATGCGTTTTTTACATAGGAAATGGGCAAAATAGGATTATATGCTGCCCCTCACTCTTTTTAAAAAACATCTGATATATATTTTAGGTAACAGTATTGCATTAAAAATCGGAATTCGTCTAGAATAGTTATCTAGCACGAATTTGAGTTCGCGTTTCGTAAAAAAAACGGGTAGACAATACAATATCGTGCATTTTCCCTAACTCAGTTTCATCACAGAGATCCTGGTTTCTTGGGCCTGCTTAGCTCGAGCGTGCATGGTCAAGCTGTCAGATTTGGCCTTATAGCGGATGGTATCCATACCCACCCAGAAACCTTACGATTAGCCCATCGGACCAATCCAGAAAATCTCGTCCTGGTTACAGATGCCGTAGCAGCAATGGGTCTTTCCAGCGGGACGCATTTCATCGGTAAAAACGCCTACTTCGACTTTCTCATATTATATATAATTAAGGAGTAGCGACTAGAGTGGGCTACTTGGGAACTGAATACAAAGTAAATGAAACCATTTGAGATCACCGAATGAGCACAGCATATTTCCGGTACATTATGTTGTTACCTGCATCGCCTTTTTTAGGGGACATGTTTGTAGTAACAGATGGCAAAAGAGCGCTTATTGAAGGCACTGAAACCTTATGTGGGTGCATTGGCACAATGGATGCTTGTATACGGCAGTTCTACGCGTCTAGCGGGTGTTCTCGTGAAGAAGCCCTCATAGCGGCATCATATCATCCTGCGCAGGTGAGTACAGCTTCTTAAGAAATTAAATGCTTGAAACGTACGAGAATTTCGAAATAGATGGCATGGTGGTAAGAGGGCCTGTTGTCCGCATACGCCTGCTGAGCTATTTGCGTCCAGGTTATCTACGATGTGATACTTCTAAGAATAACGTGAAGCCGTTTAGGAATGCATGACCAAAGCAAAGCATCTTAATGAGACTAAATGGACATTTCCGTATTATTCGCGCATTGGGCTGCTGAAAACCAGGTGCTTGGACTTCAGTCGAAGGGACTGCTTGAAATTGGCTACGATGCGGACTTTGTAATTCTTGACGACGATCTGAACGTGCTCTCTACATGGATTGCCGGGGAGAAAGTTTGGGAAAAACAGTAAAGGAACTCTGGGAATAAAGGAAATAATGTTCGATAATTTCAAAAAGCACAAAAGGTAGTGAAATATATGTAAATAAAGCTTCTAACGAATTTTGGTCGAATTGTCATTTGTAGCGACCGGTGCTTGTGCATGGGCTTATTTTAACCAACAATATTTAAGTGCAATAGAAGCGCTACATGCATTTTGCCATCGTCGTTTACCATTAACTATCTATCACTATCAACGGAGTGTAATATCTGCACAATTTTATCTTGTATTTAAACGACTATCAAACTATACATCTACGAATAAAAAACCATACAAAATCTCAGATGCTCAGAAGAAAATTCCGATTCACTTTTCGCTGTTCTCAATATAGCGTAGAATGTTGCTAGTAAATTGTTACAGCGCTTTTTAACAAACTTTACTGTAAAAAATAAGTTTTTACGTCATAGATCCATGACGTCAAGCGGAAGCGCAGCTTGTCTGTAAACGAATTTTTTTTGTATCAACCCATCACCTAGCATATCTCACCCTTGTACTAGGCTAGTCGGCGATAAACCCGCCGCAGCGAGATGTCTGGGCACCGATCTGATGCGTGTTACGCGAAACGCAATAAACACATAAGGGGGATGAGCAAAAAAGTACCGAAATTTACCGCGTTCTTTTTAGGCATTGACAATTATTTACTTTGTTAACACAACATGGGTTATAATGGGGATCGTCGGTTGTGCATTTCAAAACTCAACTGGACAATACCCACATGACTAAGTTCTCTTATGTGCGTACGAGTAAGTCTTTTGTAAAACCTATTGGTGTTAATGCATTCGAACATTTCTTTGGGGAGCGCCCCATTTCTGACATTCACTTCCCCTTCCAAGAAGATACTGCCTTATTTGTTCAAGTTAGTGCTAGCGGGTTTCAGGGGTTTTTTAAGGGGTGGTGAAGTCCCGAATAGTGTCAGGCGAAAACACCTAAGATGAAAAACGTACCGAACATTGTAGTAGCCCTTCATGTCTCATGATTTCTCTAAATGCAATGCAAATGATGGACAATCCATTTTTGACAGAAAAAAAAAGCATCGAATTTAAATAAAACGTGCATTTCTGGGCGCTACGCGACGACCAATTTCGCGCCCTTATTCAAAATATAAATTTCAAACCTAGAGTGAAAAAATACATGTGATAGCTATCTAATAATGTATTTATTCTTCGTTTTAGGAAGACAAAGAGGGCAAGACACAGTTTATTTCTTCGTATATTATCCACGATCATCGTTGTTACACGAAATAGTTGCGAACGTTAGCTTTACAACGACCAGGTTGAATTTTAATGGATTATGATGCATATCCATACATAAGCAATTCGTGAATAGACGTTTGGCGTTTAGGAAATAACTTTGACCCGCAGTTCCCTCGAAATGTTCGACTTAATGGGGGGAGGACGGGGCTATTAGGGGCAAAAAATCAGTTTTGGAAAACCATTGACAAGAGCTATAGGGACTGGAATAAAAAGTCAGGGGCAAATTGAGAATATCGATTACTTCCATTTATTCTGAACTTAACTTTAAACAGTGGTTTCCTGTTGCTTCCCGTTAGATATTTAATTATTATAATACTGAGTGTAATAATAGAATGCATATTCTCTGATCGGGCCTACTTCGAATGCTTGTAGTAATCATAATTTATACATGGTTGTCATAAATGAAGCATTTTTCTTTTTAGGACAGAACGGATAGAATCACGTTGTTTCGGTATGTTACACGATAACGTGTAGATATATTAATATATACAAATATAAAACGCTTTAGTAGGTTCACACATCCCTAGTCATTCCATAGCGGAAATACAAACAGGAATTTCTATAGATCGGATTTATTATTACAGTATCCGCTAGTGTAGCATCGCGGACGAACTGCAGCCGAGTTGGCGTTCTTTGATTCGTTAGCGTAAACGTTTTCTTTTTTTTTTTTCTACATAAATTAATAGGTTTTCATTGACGTATTCAGGTTCAGGCAGTAGTGAAATAAGTAAATGTGGTTAATGTTTGATAAGGAAAAGGAAGAAGGAGTTAGATTATGGTCATATTTACATTGATTTAATAGTGAGGACGAAAACGGCTGTTGTCTTGCGATCGGTCAATCGAAAAAATCATTGGCAAGCACCATTGTTCGGGTCAGTATGCGATGCCGGCGACACACCCACCAGCCTGAACCGTTCCATTATTTTCTAGACTAACTTATTAGGTATGTAGATAGATAATATGTATACATTAGTTATACACATGATATATACACACCAGCACGCCTCCAACAATTAACTACGCTATGGGCGTTGACAAAAAAACGCCAGCCAGGACAATGCTCCGGCGAGCGATCTCCTCACTTCCGTGTACATTTACGTACCTCGATTACTGGCTGGCTTATCTGTGAGTCGAAACACTACAGCTAGTGGAACCGTCTGGCAGTTACATGGGACAGAATCATCAGTCTAATTGCCAAACTGATTTTCTTTATGTAATAATATTCGACGCCATAGGATCATTCATCACCAAAGAGCCATTAGGCCATTGGAGGTCATCGGATTGCTCACGCGTCCACCACGTATATGGCTAATGCTGCTACATCGGACCAACAAACAATAGTTCGCTCACTGTTTCCTTATGCAAATCCCACCCTACTTAACTGCTGTATTGTTGTTTGTATTAGCAATGAGCTTTTTCGTCGGAGTCAGTACGGCAGCCTTCACTCGCATCGAAGCCCGGATCACACTCTGGAACGGAGTACGGGAAAATTTCGTTGGCGTGGGCATCTGCCCGCCGGCAGGATGGTCTTCATCGGCCTTTCGTTTCAGGACCTTGGCGAACGGTGACGCATTTTCCTTGTCGACAAGGTCAACGGCAACAAGCGAATCCACTGATCCGCTTCTTACGAAAGCGGCTTTGCCTTGAATAGGATAACGAATCGATGTTCGGAGCAGTCCGCGTTTCAGTGAATCGGGCGTGTCTGCCAAACCCAGGATTTTTTCAGCCTTTGCTGCGATTGGTGTCCTGGGTGTTGCTGGCTGGATGGATGGCGCTTGTTGCACCTGAAATTTTCAACAAAAAATAAAAGCGAAACAACGTATTTAGTTTTGATGCTATTATATATAAATGAACGCCACCCTGTTTCAGATGATCAGGGATTTACAACATTGAGCCTTTAAAATGTCACATGCCACAATCGAGCTATTCAATGCGCCATTTTCGCGTGCTTATACGGAACTAGATTTCCAAAGTGAAAGTCACAGACCTATTCAACAGCGACGTGCTCACGCGCATGTTTCTTGACAATAGCTGACATCATCGACGGCTAATTTATATATGAGGCTGCTTTACTCTTTGAACAACTCTTGCTCCTTACAACCGCTCCATCGAAGCATAGCATTTCTTTGAAGGACTCTTTCTACGCCCAACTGATAGACGTCGCGTAAAGGTGTAGGCTTACGAGCTTTTCACGAAAAGAAGCCAGATGATGATGATGATGATGAGTCTGAGACAGCTGGTATATGTTGTGACGTACGGGGCTGTCACAAGCTTGTTATTTTCCGGATCATCATCTGTCCTCTGCGTTTTCTCGTGCACCCTTTCACTGTCCTTCTAGTTAGCTTTCATCTAGCATTAAAACTTTGTAGCTGCACAGGTCTGATGGCCTTAGAATATGCCTAGGTATAATGTAACATATCTCGTTTTTCGTTGCCCTTTAGGCTACTCCTTATTGAGAAACAGAGCTAGCGATTGTCGAGCATGGCGATGTGGACGGACAGCAGGGGACAGCGAAAAAATGAGCGAAACAAGAAGACGACAAAGACAGCCTTGACATAAAGATGTACGCGCCTGTTCCATGTAACAGACACGTAGCGGTAACAGTCATCCCTCAGGAAATAGGTTTGCCTAAACCAAACGGCTGGCTTCGATTAAGTACCTTATTTAGACTCTCGTTAGACATAGCGCTATCCTCGGGGGATGGCTACATCCTGCCCACGAAGCTATAAACATGTAATCAACAAGACTGACAAGTTTGTTCTCTATGGTGCTTCTATGGCCTAATTTGACAATAGAACTGGACTTCATCCTATTCGTCTAGACGGGACCAATGCTTTAACTAACGTTTTTTTTCGTGGCCGTAGTCCCAAATCGTTTTGCCAAAAATGACCTTCCAAAAATGTTCGCTCTTTAAGAAAGTCTACACTGTTTGCTACACAACCTCCTTCCGTCACCGAATCGCTTCACGTCTCACTGCCTTCCCGTTTGTCTTATTGAAAATCAGTATTTACTTTGTGGCGAAGATAAATGCTCTATATGGACCGATGAATAGAACACAGGATACCCGACCTATGCATCAATAATTACTGGTGTTGTACGTGAGCGGTGGCGAAGGACACAGGACAACCTTGTATACGAGACACGCACATAACATTACAGTGGATACATTACTACCTGTCCTTAACAGGGCGAGTTTCTCGGAAGGCTGCATGGCTGTACCCTGTTCCTTAGCTTAGCTCACTCGCTTTCAGCGTTTTTTCATAGTCACTCCGAAAATGTGAAAATAGAAAAAAATCATACTAACTTGACGGACCTGTGCTCTCTGGACTATTTTCTTGCACATACGGGGTTAGCCATGCCTGGAATAGGAAGTATTGAAGCAAGCTGAAAGGTCAGCTAGCGCTTCGCATAAATAATAACCAATAACATTTACTTAGGAAAATCAGCATGAAAAGGCTAGCAAAGGATGAAAGATGAAGCATGAAAAGGACTCACTTCATGCACATTGCCTTCATCGTCATAATTAAACACGAGCGACCAGTATTACATTGATGAACAATGTAATTCAGCCGGCTACTCTGTGTCGTGCTCACTGTAACACATCGATGAATATGTGCCAGAGTGACAGCACCCCAAAAAATGAATGAGGTGTATCTCTCCTCACTATGTCTATCTCTGTGATGATTGGATTTTCGATCTCCAGTTGTAACAACATCGACAACGGTTCGCACCGAGCCAAAACTTCAACCAGCAAACGGCGCATTACTGGCTTTGTTGAATGAAACAAGAATACTCTCTTTCTCTCCTGAAGCGAAAAATTGTTGTGAAGTCAGCGACATGTTTTGCATTCGTCGTTTCTACCCCGCCGCATTTCATATCTTTGCCTTCGTCTAGCGTAACGGTCCGAAGTATGTCGTTTTTCATAGATGAAGCCTATGATGAGCATTGAGCAGCGCAAGTAAAGATCCTGACCTGCACAGAAGCCCATCTTTGAAAAACAAATTCAAGCTTTTCAAGCTCATCCTCAAGTATCTAGCGTGGACTAGCTCAGCGCGATATCCCGTCGCTTTCACCAACGTTGTGTCGGTATAATTATGTAACATAAGTAATTGCAAAAACAATTCGTTAGTAAATCTTCACGACTCTGTAAGCGCTGTCAAGTTTCTCTTTTAGTAGGTTGTCCTTAGCAGGATAGCTACGTCGAAATACGACGTCTAAAAATCGAAAGAGAACGATGTTACAAGAGCTAAGTAGATCTGCCTTGCGGTTTTGCAACGTGCTTACACACGGTCCTATTCATATAGTTTGTGCATGACCTGCCAGATGATCTAATGCCTTCTCTTTATGTGCAGGTGCATTGACCATTGGTGATGTGAAAGTATCCGGGCTACTACAGCCACACGAAGACCAACAGCGTCTCACCAACGAGAGCTTTCTCCATGATGACAGCGCCGTACGAGCGCACTGCTACACTTTATACGAGGGCATGCCCAACAACCGTTGTAACAACAATCAAAAGTTGACAGCCGGCAAATTTGAGTGTACATAAGTAATCCTCGACCAGCTTTTAAGTATCTTTTTAGGATTAGATTCGTTCGGGATGGTCACTCTACGGCGAAAATTATGAATATATATGAGCTAGTAGAATTTCATACGAATGTATACATACATAGGTTTTGTTTGCTGTGGGCAGTATAAGCGCAAAATAGGATTTGACTGTTCAGTTAGTCAGGAGGTCTTATCGCCGATTGTACATCCTCCTCTATATCATGATTCCCGCAGAAATTCAGGAGCGGCTGAGTTGTATGTGGAAAACAATAAAGTGTGCGTGTGTGTGTGTGTGTGGGGGGGGGAGGAGGGGGTGAGTAGAGAGTGTGTAGGGGGAGACTGTGAGTTCCAAAAAAAAATGGGCCTAATGTGAGTTCATGTAAGGAGACTAGCACGAGAACAAAAGCGGATAGGAAAAGTAGAAACTCGTGTAACTGCAGAATAAAAACTGTTGTTTTCAGTGTGTAAGCTGTTCAACTTTGAAAGTTCGGAAAATATGAACTGAATATTTAAGCGTGATTTATTCACCGAATAAGTTATTTATAAATACCTCTCAATTCCTTTAATCTATTCAACGCATGACTTACTGCCTCCACCGCTTCTAGGTTAAATTTTTAGGAAATGCTCAGCTAATTTTTTAGATCAGCGTCTTTGGAAGAGAAATGGTTCCTTTTTTAACATCATTTGGATACTTAGTAAATTCTACATGCAGCAACCGTCTGATTACGCTTATTTACGATTCGTGACCACAAGTACGTTCTTTTTGTGCATTTAAGATAAAACTGTTACAGCTAGTTTCAATATGTTTACGTCTAGTCGTGCTTTTCACGACTGAAATCGAAGTACAGGGAAGTCGAATTGTTCACTCAAGGATAACATACCCTCTGAAGGAAGAGTTTCTTTGTCGGCGTCGTATCCGGCTGTTGACTAACGTGGGCGTACAGTCTGGCTAATTCCCGAGTCGTGTAATCGTCGATCTCCTCCTTGCTCTGCTCGCGGCGGATAGCAAAGGTCAGCTGCGTCTTGACAACCTGTTGACGTCCAATCAATAACTACATGTATTACCAACACACATAAAATACGAACTACTTTTTATTTACGAGGCACAAATTAAGTTAATGAGTTGCCAAAACAAACATTTTCGTCCATTCATAGGTATACCTGGTCACTCTGTCCTGTGGAATATAGCACCAACTTGCGAACTATACGTTAGTAGCTCAGCTAACTTGAAGCGTACGAAAACAACTTAACGTCTGAGATTTTTGTGTCCATTTAATTGTTTCAAGTCCAAGACCGTAATGCAAGGAATGATTTGAAATAAAGTAATCCTGTAGGTGACTGGATAGTACAGATGACGACAAGCAACGGTCTCTTCAACTGATAAGTAATTTATGAATACGTTCATGATACTGAAGGACGATAGTCGCTACAAGTTCGTTAATCAAATTTGTCGAGTCAGCGGGTTTATGCGTGTACTACACAACGAGTAAACGTAACAGGTAACATGCACATCTATGTTTATTATGCAAACTTGTACGTAAAGCAAGTGTTTTTTTGCGAGTGTGAATTGCTTCTTGCATCCCCATACCGTTGGCCTTAATTTGGAGTTCAATACCAGTGTCAATTTTTTCAAAATTTTATCAATCTAAGCTTTAGCGTGTCCTCCCCCTCCCTCTAGCTCTCGCATTCGCTCAGTTTCTCTTCCTGTTGATCTTCCCTGCTGCTTCTTCTTGCTGAAATCTCCTCCATATTGTTCTCTAAGAGGTCCTGCGGAGTGGATGCCGACTTCCATGTCAGCTACGCCGCCTCCGCCCCTTGCTCTGCTGATGAGAAATCCGCAGACGACATATGGTCTTTGGGATAGATCGAACCAACTTGGATCGATGCCGTCGTGAAAGCAGTTAGCCTAACCACTATCGAATGCTGAAAACTCGATGAGAATCCTGAATTTTTTTTATTATTAATTTTTTATTATTATTTAGTATGAAGCAGGAAAATTGGGAAAGAATGGGTGGGTGTCTTGCCCGCATCCCGTATGTCAGCTTGGAAAACATTTGGAGGAGCCTTCCTCACCAATGACACTCTACATTTTAAGTGTGAAACATTCGTAGCAATACTCGGCAGACTATGTTATTCTTGTTTGCAATAAGTGATGTGTACGAGTGGGCTTTAACTAAATAACACCAGCGTTTTAGATAAAAATTATTTTTATATTTGAATTATTTGTAAATGTCTGTTAATTGGCTCTTGTTACACGGGAAAGAATTTTTAGAGCAGAGACAAGAGAATGCCTAATTCAAAGCATCAAAAAATCTCCATAATGGTCTGCCATCATCGAAAGCAAAAATCTGGTTGAAACCAGATTTTTCTTACTGGCAGATGTAATTTCATTGACGCAGATTGAGCTCGCGAAGCATACATATACATACACCACTGTTTTTTTGGAACACCTTCCTTACCTCTTATTTCTTATCGCTAAATTGTATCTGTCTCAGATTGTACGATTCAGTGAGCTTCCATGATACGAACACTTAACATGACTTTTAAGATGGTAGATATTTGCCTTAAGTGTCAATTATATTAGGTCCATTCGATTATCTCCGATTTGACCTCCTGAATCCATCCATAATTGAAGTCCAAAATCGACACGAGATCGCCACATTGCTTAAGACGAAAAACGACTATTCTGCCTGCATAATCAACCAGGTGTTTTTTTGTTTTATTTAAGAATTGCTTTCATTTGTGCTCGCTTATTTATTTGTAAGTCATCTTTTCATTGTGCCTTCCACTCGCCGGTTCTGGTCCAGTATCTCGTGCAGCCCGCTCGAAGGGCCGGCCTTCTAGCACAGAAGCAAACCCAACGAAAATCCGAGGAGTGTCGTCTTGAACTAAGAAGCAGCAGCTTGGTTGTTCATTCGTTCCGTCGATGATTTTCCGTCGACGGCACAACCAAATCTGTATCTTAATCTCCGTTTCTTAAAAACAAGCAACTGTAGCCAGGTGACGCAAGAAGCAGACCTATTCTAAGCCTAGCTGGTCAGGTAAGGTTACGAAGTCGCCTGCTGCTTCTCGATTTTTAAATGACTACACCGCGTGAGCTAGGCGAAATGGACGCGTCACAATGGCGGCGGACGCGCTTTAAATCAGGATCAAGTATAACGTGTGTCGCGTAGCTACTTGGCCCAACTGCCAACCCCTCAGAAGCACAGCGGCTTACATAGCAGATGTAGTAAGAAATAGCGTCTGTCAATGCAGGTTCCTAAGACAACTAGTCTAGTATTTCTAGTGTACATATTCAGATTGAATATCGGCATGCGTCTATATTTCAGCAGCCTCTAATTTTGCAGTTAATCACACAATCGAGCTATCATTACGACATGAACGTATGCTGCCGTTTAGACGTACCATGATCTTGAGGTAATATATGTGAAGGGACAGGAAACGCCATCGTCACCTTGACATTGGCCAAGAGTACAGACCGCATATCGAATTGGTGACCTTACGACGACGTAAAAGCGTGTTTCTCCATCTTCTGGTTTCACCGTACACCCCTACGTACGTATATCTAAACACGCACGCACAATGCAGAACAATAGACAACGCACCTCACGAGATCTCTCTCGCACGAGACCCAAGCATACATGAGCAAATTTCATTATCATCATCAAGCTTCAGTAACATTTTCTATAATTAATAGTAAGTGGTCTTGTCCGTATGGATCCTATCAACATCAAGATAAGAATAATGGTATCAAGTCCCCCTAGAACTGCCCGTCACGGTTGTGAAATTACCGGCCTGAAACCATTTAGAAACAACAGCTATGCATTTTTACCTATGCAACAGAGATGATCACGAACATAACCTTAGAGCAACCACTCGCAAAGAGTAATCGTTGCGTAAATTGTAACGTTAGGCCATAACTATGTTTCTCTGTAACTACTAAGACCAATTATTCCATATCGGTGTTTGCTTACAAGAGAAGAGAACTGTCATACAAAGGGATACCTCAGATGAGTCTAAACAGCGAAGACAAAATGTTCGACTCACAAGCTGGGCTGCATCGTCTAAAAGCCACTGATCAGCTAAGCATTAAAGCTACCACGCCAGGGTGGTTCGCTGCACTGCAGGAACACATGTATCGGGCTGAAACCAACTTGGACCAGTTAGAGAGTAAATAACGCTTGACCTATTCTAAGGCGCACAAAGATAGTCTACATATACGTCATCGCGCGTTTCTGAATCTTATGTCGTCGACGAGCAGGTGTGTCTGACATCAGCTGCGTTGTCGGCATGTCTCAGCGATAAGAAGCGGCTTCTGCGACAGGTCGCCAAGAAAAAAACTACTGATCGCCTGAGAACTGACCATTATGTAATCAGTTCAGCGAAGAAAACGTTGTGTAACGTACCGACGGGCCGATTTGCTGGTCTCGCTGAAAGGGCTGGCGTGTTATTACTAACCTGCCTCTGCTGATTGCTATAAGAAAAGGAAATAGGGTACGAACGAATTTAGATTGATTGTTAGACCCCTTAGAATGATGCTGTTTGCATCTGTCGTGATTTATTAGCGGGTAGTTTCCGAGATATCGATGAGCATGCCAATCGGTAGAACACAAACGTGTCGTTTCTACGAGCCCATTTAAACCGTTCCAACCCATCTTGATAACGCATTAGGTTCTACTAGACACTTCGGTGTTCAGACAGACCCCCTGCCAAATATACACGACATTGACATATGTCCATTATCGGAATCAACCCCTGCAGCGCTTCTTTACTCTAATAATAACAACTCTGTTGTCTTCGTTCTACGACACATTTTGCACACGTTAGATACTTACAATTATTCCATATCAAGGCCAGGCGTCACTACACCTAATGTCATCACCTGCATCGACTCTTGGGATTTATGTTGACCTCGTCCCCGCGTTACAGAGTGTTGGGGCAAAGACACTGATGTTAGGCAGCCTACGCTAACGGTCGCCGCCATAACTACGATAGCACTAAAAATCTGCGCATATATAAACGCTGTGACAATGTAAAAGCACGACGTATGCGTTGTACGCGACCACCAGAGGTCTTGGTGGTTATTAGGGACCGAAAAAAAATAGTCGCTGAAGTTTGAGTTTAGGATAGGCGCCTCCCAGTTTAAACAGCCTATTGAGAATATGCTAGGTTGTAGGCGACTGCTTCGTCCTACTGGGTGTCAAAGATAGGCTCGTGTTAGTGTTGCCTGAGCCACCGTCCAGGTGAATGTCGCCCTGTGCTGTGGTGTGGGCAGATGTCCTGATGTATGTTGTTCATTTGAGGGTGTCGCCGCCACAGCCTGTTGCTCGATTGTTCGGCGAGCCTGTATAGGACCTGCGGACTACTGGCAAGAGCTGAGCGAACGTGATCATCGTTTGGGCTATCTACCCGCTTAAGCCAAGCATTCACTCCAGTTCAGCTGGTCACCGCCGCTGTAGCCAGTGAGCTCACCGAATTGACTCATTTTGTAGCTTTGTTTCCTCGGAGATCTGTCCTATGCCCGCCAATGTGCGTGTGGCTTCTGATGATAGTAGCAACTCCAGGGGAAGCTTAACAAACCGCTGAAGAGGATCAGGCATTAGACATTTTGTTATCCACTCCGACTGACTACAAAGGTATGCTGTTCGTCTGGTGCTGCTACCGTTCGCGAATAATGCCACCCAGTACAACGTAGAGTTCTTATTAAAACCAGCTTACAATGTTCACAAACGCTCAGAATCGGATGCAAATACTATTCAGTATACGGCGTAGATGACAATTCTGTCTTACCCCGAATTGGTAAATGGCCTTCAACACACAACCTGATGCCTGCAATTGCATAAAGTATATTCCGTTTCAGCGCATTCTGCAGCGAAACGAAAGACCTTAGATATCGCATTGAATTTATTCTAAAAAAACACTTATTCATAACTGCCTTTTTGATTATTTTGTGTTTGTGCACAAACTGATGATTCCGACTTGGTAGAGCGCTTGTGTATTACTTTAAGACTGTATAGGAGAGTTTAGAAGTTATGATTTTGGGCCATGATTCTAGCCGCTGCCTTTGCCGGGCGAATCGGCAGCAGTGGATGACAGGAAACTTTAAAAAAGAATGTTAAAATAAATGCTAACCGACGAGTGCTTTATATAAGACTAGGTAATATAAAAACCTGTTCAATACATCTGCAGTACTACCGTATGTTAAACATTTAGAATCACGAAACGCACACTTCAATAGTAGACACTGAAGTTAAACTCTTTCAGACTTACCCCGTGATCATGTTCGTCCTGCTCGTTCTTGATGAATGCGATAACGTCTTGAACGAGCTCGTCTGGCAGCTTGAACAATACGGGTTCCTGTTCGATGATGAAGCTCAACAACTCCACGGCGGGATGCTGTACCCGTGTGAAGAATTCCTCAGGTGTCATCTAGGGAATCAAATCGGAGGAAAAATTCATTAATGCGCGTTTAAAAATTCGATAAGTTGCAATTTTCAAATTCACACCGAAGTCAGGCGATTTTCACATTAGCCAATGGAAATCGTCGCCAAATACTGCACGTGCGCACGATGAAATCGGTCATCCCTGACAAAAATCGTTAACAGCCATGACACGATGCACGTACCACCTAGCCCGTAGGTATGGAACAAGGATTGACTAATCCTCTCTAGGATCTTTCTCAGTTACCTTAATTTCTATTTCAAATAAACACATCGCACTTTTCGTTTGAATAATCCTCACGTAGTGAAAACAATGTTCGTTCAAAGCTTTCACAACTGACATCGGTGTGATAATGGATTGTCATCTATTTTCGTAATAACTTTTACCTATGCATTTGAAAATATGTCAAGTTTTCAAAACCGGGTAGCTGTTACCGTAATGCTCTTAGCTAACCCAGTTCGTAGCTAGGCTTCCTATCTACTTCGATTTGCCCATGGCGATTTATGAAGCACAAGGAACGCGCTGGAATATCCTTGTAGAACTTCTATGACCACACTAACTATATAATAGTAGTCAAGCTCCTCAGACTATGTATAATACACAGTGATGATATACAAGTTACGACCTAATCGTCAACCATAAAGGAATAAGCGACACCACCGTCTGAGGGTATATCGAGAAGCAATATTTTCTCCGCAGATCTCTCTAGCGAATAACGTCCACTTGCAGGACTGCTATCTCAGGAACTGCATCTAAGAGTAGGTATTTTTCTCTTCTCAGATATTCTAGTCAGACCCTCGCTGAGCCATACTCGAAGTTCACGGACACAGGCTGCCCCAAACGCATATGACTGCTAGATACCACATTACCTAGTCAACATTTGTGAGCATGTCTATATTCCAAATGCTCATTTATTGTAACAGGTCACGCCAGAAACTCGCTTGCCACTGAAGGCTATGTTATCGGCCGGTTGGTCAATGATGGACGCCATCATTTTGGCGCTACGGTGTGAGGACTATGTAGGCCCCATCGCGTGATCATGTGAAGTGACAGTGCGGCTTCGATACCGGCGTTGAACGTCGTGGACATATCTAATGTGTACCTGCAGTAAAGAAGAGGTGTAATATCGCCATAGCGAACTCGCTAAGCGACCCACTGCAGTGGACCTTTCTTGTGAATGAATGTTACGCAGATGTGGAACCAGACGTACGTGTTACCCTACTTGTAAGCTTCAGGTCAACGTTCTTACCAAGTTTGTTGAATTAAGACATACAGAAGTAATTCGATCTAACATACATTAGTAGGTTAAAGATTGCGACGAAGACACAACAGGTGTATAAGTAACCTAGCTAACCTAACCATATTTTAAACTATACCTATAGCTTTTCAAGAAGCTGTTGAAGGTTTTAGAATAGAAAATGTTACGCCGCGGATAGCTAAATAAGCAAAAATAGAAATTTCATTCAGATTAAAATGTTGTAATGTAAACAATTTACTGCCGGATTTAACAATTTACTAAAGATCACACCCGTTATTTACTTGGTCGTTACATTAAGGACAACCTCGTTGGTAACCTTACAGGTGTCGTCCCTTTTTGCAACTATCATTGAGAGAGATACAGGCAAACGCTTACAATTTTTTAGTTCCCCACTTGTCGGAGTCCTCAGTAAGCGTCAAGGTAAAAACGAAATACACAACCGATCTTTACTGCTTTAGTACTTTTGCTCCAGGCCAAGCTGAGTTCCGTCTCTTAATAAACTTGTCAGTAAACTTTCATTGGCTCATATGACTCTGCGTTTTTCCGGTTGAACAAGCGGATCAGAATTTATATCATCACTGCATACGGCTGTTTTCGCACGTATACATCTCTATGGAATATACATTAGCTTGTGCACGAATCCGCATGAGGTTCTTGCACCTAATTGAATTGTTTGTATTTCATATGTATCTGCTCATCACCATCTATTCAGAGTGATGATTATGAGACTGTTATTTGTTTGTTCTGAGTGCTTTAACGAGCTAGCGTTCCGTCCTCAAGTCCGGCGGCTGGGAGTTTCCTTTTCCCTAACTAGTGAAAACAGACAAAGAGGGCAGGCGTATAGCTACACGTGTAGGCCGTATATGATACCTAACCTGATGGAAGCTTCCACTCTGAACCGTTACATTATTTCCACTCTTAACCGCCTAACGTGATCGGGGCGTTAATCAAGCTTGACTGTTGTTGTCAGCCATATGGAAGCAGGAAAGCTGAGAAGGCAACCGGGTCTGCATATGAGACCAATCAAAATTGACAGACAACTAGCTATTCAGAAGATTGCAGGCATGCTGAGCACTACATAGAAATGTGTATTTAGATACACAAAATGTCGTTACTCACATTACGCCTGACGATTAATATATTCTTTACTCGTGGCAGGCAAAGCTTATGCTTTTTTTAGTTGAAATCACGATCAATACCTCCGTAACAGTTTGGGGATTTGCACGTTTCAAGTCTCATAGCAGGCCAGATCTTCTGATTCCTCGCATGCAGCAGCGAAGTTATATCTCAAGATTAGCACATAGAGCAGCTAGAATCGCTATACCACGTTAATGTAGTCCGCTAGGATGGCCTTATTAGGCAATCAGGACCGAGTGCGGAGCTCGTTGCTCACTCAACTTCGATTCAATATGTATTGTTTGAGGTTCTAACCCACTGTTTCGAGTAGACGATAAAAATATCTAGTTAGCACCGTATCCGCCGCGACGGTCAGCTTCGAAAAGCCATCGCTGTAACTTTTCGTAGGACTTTGGCCTTGTCAAAAATCATAGGAAAATAGCGATAGAAATGTTTAACTCAGACAGAGAAAGAAATCCTTTGCATAGTTGAGTGCATTCGTCAATTGATGGTTGATGAGAAACGGCGAAAAGCAGACACGCGAGAAAAACCACTAAGTCGTCATTGACCCCGACTTACCGATGAGTATGCTCGTAGGGCACGCTTAGGAAACTGGAACCGATTTATTACCACAGTTACTTTCTACAGTGTATTATTTTTATTAGCAATCACCAACGGCCCGAGATTTTCTAATGAATTCGACAGGATCATCACCCGAAGGTACCCATCGTCTAGCAAAGAAGCTCAGCAGATTTGAAATATCAGCTTTCGCCAGCAAAAAAAAAAAGAAGAATGGGAATAGTTCGCTGTGTAAATTTTTGGTAGCGATATCTCCTCGTACAGGCAAACAAGTAAAGCCTGGTCAACAACTACACTTTGCCATAGAGCATATCTGTAGATATTACACAGAAATGTTATTGCGTCATCCTCACGATTGTGTCGTTTGCATAACTCGTATTTACATGACCAATAGCGTATTGCCTATATTTTCTCTTGAACAGATCGAGCTTTAGCTTGGCCGATCGAAAGTTCCTATAGTTTACATCGGCCATTCCACAGACATAGCTTACGAACCCGTCCTAAGAAAGATATTAAAGGCAATCCGTTGTTAATTCTTCTATGCTCATTACATGAATCGATCTACCTGTTCTCAGAAGAATGAAAAAGCTGGCCTGTTCCGATAACTACATATGGACTTTAAGTATGGAACATATGGACTTTATGGAATTGTTAAGTATCGTTTTGACTTACAACCTGTCCAGACGAGATTACCTGATCATTTCACACCAAGCCAACCTGAAATATCCACGCGCCTAGATTTTTCTACTTTTAGATGAATAGATATCTTTCGTACAGTACAGGCTAAGTTTGATGACATCCGTCCAAGGAAACTGTTATGGGGCCCGCAGTCTGGGCGCGTCTGCTGCTAGGCCTGTTCGTCTGACGTTTGGCGGGCCTTTAAATCAAAATGGGACGTCGGCAGGCGCCCGAGAGCTACAGTGACATAGGCGAATAAGCATGTGCCGCTACAAGGTCAAGAAACCTCAAATCTCCGGTAATCGTATGTCCCGCCACCTTCACAACCTTTCCTCGGCTGATGCTTCATATCACCTTTTTTCTGTTAGTGAAAGCAAGGCAAGTAGCCCTAGCAACAACATCAGTTTCAATATGATAACATATTCGCTTCGTCAGAATATGCCCGATAGCTTCGATAGATCGCCGAATATCACGTCCATTATAAGACCATTTTTCGGTAGAATACTCTGTGTCCGTCGACTCAAAAGCTATGGACGGAGATGGAAGCTGGTGAATTCTGCTGTTGCTGCTGCAGATAATCGCCTCCGCAGGTTCTTCTGAAGTGTGGACGAGTCGTTGTTAGGGTGCGAAGGAAATGCCTTCGTGTGTCTTCTTTGTACGGAGAGTTTGTATGTAAGGATCTTTCTTAGGGCTGTTTGTAGTTGATCGCTATAGTCGTCTCGGAGCCACCATATGCCATCAGCGTCGCTGCCTCTTCATCCTAACGGGTCCATTCTAGCTCAGAATAATAAATAAAACCAACCCATAACAGCTGAAGGCTTTTCTTACACAAAAAGATGCATTAGTTTGTGCCAGCAAAGCCCTTCGAGGCCAACAAAAATTTCGCTCTAAGTTTAGCTTGACGGTTCAAGCCGAAGTACACCTTATCATAGGCTTCTAGTTCTATGATAAAGGGATCTTTGAGCGATGTCATTCTCGCAAGGAATTCGCCTCCAATGCATCATAGAGCTCTCTTACTTTTGAACCTTATGAATATAAGGAAAAGTCTGTCTAGATAAGGATAGCTTCCTCGTCGTTTGAACGTTATTTTTAGGGTACCATACAGATTAGTATATCTACACTGCAATATGGGTAGATAAATCTAGAACTTTTCTTGCCTTAAGAAGAAAAAGTACTGCATCTTTTCAAAAGGCTGAAGGTGACTGGAAAATATATATAATCAATTATGATAGGGGCTACCTATAATGCAATCATTTTATTTCACAGCCAATTAAAAGTATATTATTTTTCTGTAGCGTCCTATTCTTAAATACTAATCATACTACGTTCATTCTTCAGCTAGAGAAACAATCAACTTAAATCCCGCATAACAAAAAGCGTTATCGTTCACTTATGAACGCTTTGGCCGATATAAATAATGATACAATACACCTAGCATCAAAGCCTGCTAAATACTATCTAGGCTCGTCATTAAAAACTGCTAGGTTCAATTAGGTACCAAGCTTCCCATGCAGAATCGGGATGTTTAGCACCAGAATTATTCCACAGAAAAACTCTGAGGGTCAAGTCCTCCCGCGCAACAATCCGCTGCACGGGCACCGGTGGCTTCCCGCAGCTTAGCTCCTGTGGGTGAGCGTGCATGTTAGGGCTGGCGGCATTTAACAGAGGGCATCTGGCGTCCTTTCACGCAGAACTGAATCCAGGCGACTTGACTTGTTCGCCAGGTTCACCGTCACTACTTCTGTTTCGGAGGGACTTTTTGGTCACTTGCACTACTTAAAACGGTATCTACCCACAACGAAAATTTTAACCACCGCACCGTATCGCAGTCCGCAATCGATTCGAGGCTAGCTTTTGAAAAATCCAACTTAAACAGGGCGAAAAGATCTGGCCTCTGCAAGAGGGGAACGCATAGATTTAGGTGGCATTTGCACAAAACAGTTTGCAAAAAAAACCTATTTTCGCGCCAATAATATAGACGATTCTGCTATTCGTCCTTCACGTGCATGCTTAATAATGACGAACAGACCACGTCATACACACAGGTTCACACAACGAGACATGCATAAAGCCTTTGCACAGACCTGCGGAGAAGTTTCTTTATGACAATAAAGTACATAGTGAAGAAAGCAGCCGACTTTCAAAGGAGCCACGAAGCTGAGCAGATGCGATAGCAGGAGCCAGTTAGCTCTTACAAGAAGTACGAGTTGGCTTTTAGTTTTAATCGGCAAAGCGTTCGAACCGGCAACCGCAGGAGTAATAGTTTACAGAAGACAATGTACCCTTGAACGCGGTTCGGTGACATGATGCAGAACGTTGCGAGTTAACGAATTTTGGCCTGACAATAAAGACGCTTTTTGTTTGTGTGAAAAAAGAAAATTAAAATGTACATTTTTGAAGTAGTTAAATTCTTCTGCTTAAGTAATCGTAAGTTAAATAATCGCTGCTTCAGTCGATAGCTAGCAAACCCGTAAAACTCTTGACCCATTTTGTAGCTTCAATCAGGAACGTGACTGCTGAAGGGAAGTACATCATGTGAAGCCACCTCTTCTAAGCCCGTAATATAAACAGTTTACAACAGACTGAGTTGAACTTTGCCTGAACGTTAACATTGGGTACGTTGCCAATTCCGCTCTGAAAACTTCACGTGCAAAACTTAAATTGTCTTTGCTCTATGCACCTCTTGTTGGTGTGGTCTTGTGTGTGTGGATACATAGAAGAGAACAGTATACTTACACTATTGTTATTTGATGATAAATCCATTTCGGTTTTTTTGAGAGTCGTTGTCATTTTATAGGTGATATGTTGAAATATGTTTTTGTGTGTAGCACCATAACAGTCAACGAAATCAACGACGAAACTATTCGCAACAACCGAATGATATTCTTCTCATTATTAATCTAATAGGCCAAAAGCACTAATAATTATGTTTAAAAGGACACGTGACTTACTAGACCTTGGTGCTTCACAGATATATAAAACCATATTTTGTTGTACCATATCGAAACATACCGAATGCACTTCTACACTTTGCCTTGAACTTCGTAGATGAATCTTGCTCTGTTATAGGGTGAACGTACGCGCAAAACTGGCTTATATATATATATATATATTCGAACAGTGTTAATACTGGTTAGTACGCGAAAAACGTTTTTAGATCATAAAACTACCAAGAAGTCCGAGGCTGGATGCGTCGCGGACTATCGTCAGGTATTTTTTCCAGCTGGCTATACACAGCACGCGACTAACATACCGATAAAAAGGAAGAACATGTAAACCACTTCCTTAATTTACGGGTGGCCAAAATAAGTGATCACAAGTGATTCGTGCGGAGTCGTAACAACCCCATGACCGTTTATTCCGAACTGTGCCATACCCGGTAACCACCCGTTTGGGCCCAACAGGCTAGTATATTGACATTCCATCTCGTCCTAAAAGGAGCTGAGCAATCGGTCCTTAAGTTGACAGGAAAAGCAGAGTCGGCTTGAGCGAAAAATGGTCAGAGATCGTGCACTATGTACAAAATGCCACTTATGACGCAATTCTATATAAGGTAACGCAGCTCTATCAGTCGGTTAAATGTCTAAATTGAACACGTAATAGACAAAGTGAAAATTTCCAGTCTCCTAAAAGAATTCTCCATTTTAAGTGACGTTTAGCCTTGTCTGGGCGTTCGACGAAACTCTGTTATTTGAAAGACCTTCTGCAGCAGTACCTGTGTTGTTTAGGTGAACGGTTTCTAAAACAACGTTTGTACATTTAGAAATATACTGGACGGCCCCCTTCGAAGTTGCTGTCATCGCGGCTCTGCTGACGACAAATATCCGTGACAGATTCGTGTTCAGTGGTATTTGTCCTTTACGTCGTTTTGCGTCGTCATCTCAAAATATCACGTGACTTTTTGCTAGCTTGAACAGCCAGTTTGCTGCGAATAGCAACTGCTTAACAGGAGTCCACATCTCCACCCCCGATGTGAGCATGTAGCTACAGCAAAATTCTCGAAGTCTATGGGCATATCGCATTGAGTGACACATCTGCTCAACATGTGCTTTGCTTACGTGGACTTGGCTGCATACAGGCTCCGAGTAGGACAAGCTTTTTTATTTCCGGTAAATCTCTCAAGCCTCTGGCTCTAAAACTCGAAGCAATTTTACGTTCGGTATCACCGTTGAGCGTTCCATCAGGCAGGCGGCTGGCTCCCAACACGAAACGAAGTATGTTTGTCTACGGCCGGGTTCGAACCTAGACCACAACGTGTCTCCAAGATCAGCCAAACACGTTACCCATTAAACGAACACAGGAATCTCTCAAACCTACGGCACGGTTCCCTTCTAGAGCTAAAGCTCAATATAAGGGGAACTATAAATCGGAAACAACTGTGAACGTGATCTCTGGTAAACACATCAAAAAACGCCGACCAGTAACACCAGCTGATACGAATTACAACCCTGTAGTTTGGCGCAAGAACGTAAAGTTTCCACTGCCGAGGCCATAAGTAATCAAACACCTAATACAAAATATTTCGGTGGCTTAAACGATCACAAGGTAGTTCAGACTACTCCTCCTTTCACTTAAACCACTGCCGGTTTTCGTAACTCTAAAAGAAAGCTTGAGCTTTTGCCATAAATATACATCATACGATAAAATTATACGCGTTGTTCGCTGTCATAGCTAGAATCGAAAAACGTCTGTGATAAAGCTAGGTTAAAACTGTATATAGAATATTATCTCGCCAGCTGTTTTAATTGGCCGAACTTTCATCCATGGATTACGCCTTTATCCATCGAGGTTGACATTTACGAAGCTTCAAGTCATTATACGCTTATAATTGTAACGGCTAAGCTACAATATAATAGTACTAATCTGATGGTTGACCTGTCCAAAATGGATGATTTCTATAGCACTACCTATTGTTTGACGACTTAAAATTGAAGAGTTGAAAAATGCTTATCGCAAGCGTGGCCTCCACTCGCTTTATCAGCTCGATCATCCGTTAGCCCATATTACCCTCTTCGAAACCGCCGTTTTTTTGTTCCCCCTTCTTCGAAAACTTGTTTTTACAACTCGAGCGAACAGCTTCCCCTGCCCACCAATTCAGATGATGTGTGCGCCTATGCCTGCCACATTCATACCATTGCCCGTCTGGTATTGTTCATCTGGTACTGTTTGCCGACAGCGGCTCGAAAAGAGTCTATGCCCCATGAGCTTTAGATCGGGCTGATATATCCACGTTTCTCATGTGGAGGCTCTGCTTATGGAGAGAACCTGGATTAAGTCCAGCTGGGCTAGGCGTATATGGGCAGTTTTGTGCTGTGCTAGTGGTGAATTGTTGCTCTCCAGCACTGCTCATCTCTCGAAAGAAATATTGATAAGGATAAAAAGAGCGAGAGAGATCTTTTGTGGTGTCAGCGTCGCAGGATGCACCAATAGGCGCATCTGCCGACGCTGCCATAGTAACCGATCCCGTCAACGAAATGCCGTCACAACTACAAACGCGCGTTGAACGGTTTTCTGCTTGTGTACGCTGGGTTTATCGTTCATACTGGCTCGGACGCACACTCATCGTTGTTCCCAATAGCAAACGCCATGTAGATAGATGGTTGGTCATAGCGTCTTCGCAGAATCGGCGATGGACAACGGTATACGATTGTGTGTATTTGACGGCGATGGAAACGCAGTTTTTTTAGATTCATCGTTTCCTGTGCGTATTTCTCTGCGTCGAAAATGTATAACGGTCCAGGGAAAGCAAATAATTAAAACTCATATGTAGGTTTCAGATGAAAACAGCGTATCTCTATGGCAATCTTACGGTATATCGCGTCTATAATTACGGATTAAGCAATATAGATCACAGTATACGTCAGTAGTTATGTCTAAATATCAATAGTTTTCTTAAGGGTATACAACAATAAAATCATAGCATTACAAAATTAGCATAACATTTAGCACATTCACATACAGAATGATGAAGGCACACTTACCGTTTTCGGGCACATTATGACAGGAGCGAAGAGTTTCGCTAAGCACGTAGCGTCCATCCGCGTCGAATCCTTGTTGCTTGCAACCTTCGACAAAAGTTGAAGTAGGGGCTTCAACAGGTGATAATTGTATAGCGGTAACAATTGAAATAGAAGTTGAATACATTTTATTCGTTTACGAGTCACTTCCTCCAAAATCGATGGCAACGTTTGCTGCCGGGCCAGTTCTGTAAGTTGCACAGGTACACATAAATGAACACATATTGATCCATTAAAACGAACCTATAGGACCCACTGGTTGGTCCACCATACAAATGTACCCATTACCGAACGTCACGAATATTCTTCACTTGCCATCAGAATATATGATTATGACTAGAACGTAATCATTCTACACGCCGATAGTTTATGGCCAATGTTAACGATAGCGAATCCAAATCGTGTGAATATAACTATTGAAGTGTGCTTACTGTTCTTGTAGACGTGCTACGTGTCGCAATGCTTCAGTTAAGAACATTGAGATTGGCAGGGGGTACGACAGCGCAAAGCTTGATGCGCCATATTGCCGCCTCTACCTATTACTTCTAATATTATTATTAATACTGGCTGCGTCAGACTCAGAGTACGTAGGCACTAGTACGGACGTCTGGCCGTGTTTACAGTTGCACGAAAATGGCCAGAGTGTCTATGAATGCTGCTTTCTTTTCTACGCAGAATAGCTAGCGACCTGCACGTCTGGCTGTCGATGTCGATGTCGATGAAATCTATAGCTTACATCCATTAGACAGCAGCACGAGCCAGAAGTACGAGCGACGCCCGTACGACGAGACATAGACCGACTCGAAGACACAGCAGCGGGCGATTGGGAAGTTCAAACATGTGTTCGCTTGCCGCACGTCTGCTCACAGTTTGGTTCCTGCCTGTAAGTGTTCCTACAGCTTAACTTGCTGTGTCGATTCATGAAGCTGAAGGTCCATAGTATCGGTGTGGCTTCTTTCTTTGCGAGCTTACGGCCCGCCTTCGATGTAGGCTGAAGTTCTCTCCTGTCGTTGATCTGCATCGCTCTTCATCTTAGGGTGGACCGAATATCCATAATGATGGTGGCAGCCTCAGGAACAGAAGCAGCAGCTTCTGCAGCGCTTGTCCCGAAAATAGCGGCCGTATATGGCCGAGAGCGGGACGACGGTAAATAGCTCGTCTCGGTGTTACTGTAAGGTCTGGCTCGCTTTGTTTCTTCTATTACGGCCGCTGCTTTGGCATCGGATCGACTTTAAGTAACCATCAGCGATTCCAGCTGTAATGACGGCGTTAGTACTACTTCTATCGAGTTAGCAGCCTTTGATGCTAAGACTCGAGCAAAGAAGTACTCGAACGGTTCGATTCCGCCCGCCACCGGTACAGGACTAAATAGGCTCGATTCGCATGTCCACAACAGATGTTAAACGGTACTCGGGGACTCGTGCGAGCAACTTCGATGCCTAATGATACATTTGCTTTATCAGATGAAACTGTCGGTCACAGTGAAAGGCGGCCCGATAATAAACCTAATAATGACTGCAGCAATGATGACGATGGCAATACCAATAATAACCCTAACTAGTAACACGGGCCATAGCTGGAAGGAGTAGAAATCGAATAGAAACAACGACAGAAAACGAACAGTTGCGCGCTATCAGATGGTCAATGGATGACGAAGATCACATTCACGGGCTACCATATTGACTACATCCATAGGAAACCCTTAAGAACGCATGTTATCAAAATATCAGCACGATACTGCCTCGCGTGAAGTCGAAGTTATGGAGCAATGGATTAATTCTCAGTGTGATTCATTTCGAAAACTAGTGATGATCCCTTCAGGTTGTTGGCTTCTAATATCGTTAGCAATATGTGTTTCGGAACGAGTGACTCTTCATTAATCATCATCTATAAGGTATACTAAACTGGCAAAAAAACAGCTACGTTATCACGGAGACAGGGCATCGTTGAAGTTTTGTATGCATTTAAAAATGAAATGCACAAAAAAATGGTTTATCCTTTTCGATCGGATTTTACAACGTGTTTATCGGAACTATGCTCATAAGTGTTACTTTTATCAGAAGATTAATCTAGAGCAGGTAAATGCTCCCTTCTCGATGTCCGCTGTCGTGGGACTCTAACACATGCACATAAAGCCCAGCATTCTGTGTAATGATACAGCAGCGATCTTCGGGTACTGCCCACCTCTCTCGGATGCAACCGATCAAATTGACTCCTTTTGTCGCTTTGCTATCCTATTCTATCGATGACGACGTCGATAATTTCAACCTCGCCAAAATCATTTCATCACCATTTTATCTTACAGTCTGCACTCAACACTGGTCGAACCCGTCGTCACAGGCCGTTCTGGTTGCTAATCGCGTGTTTATCGCCATTAGGTGCGGGACCCTCCATTAGGTACTATGGGGCGGGTCTATAATGACAGAGATTTCACACCTGCGCCACGCTTTACCAGGCTAAAACGATGAGCATCGAAAGTTACATACTTCACTGTCGTTGAACACAGCTCGTGTGAGAACAATCGCCAGAGGATAATGATTAGTGATACTATCGGCTAAACGTAACATCAATGAAACATATCGAACGACCGAGTAGGAGAACGGTCTGGTAGGACCCATGGCGTAAAGGGACCGTCTACTCCGTTGGTTGTATAAAGAAATCTGTAAATATCATTTCTGATAGTAAATTAATCTGACTGATCTTGTAGATCTGTTACTAAAGGTGAGCGTCCGGCTTTGGCGAAGAAGCAAAAACAGTCCACGTTTTTTATCATCGCACAATAAAATAGAAGTGGCGAACTGGAGCAGAATTTCACGTTATAGTGATTCTATGATTCTGGTACGGAGGGGTAACTGTATATAACAGCTTTTGTTATGTTTGTCTATTCGACTGCCGGAGTATTTAGTAGTGCCTTCATATGAAAGTTACTCAGGCGATTATAGTACATTGTCTCGGAACGGCGAGTAAAGAATCGAGTATCCGGTCATTTCGATAGATCTATACACATGCAGATGAAGACATGCCTTGTACCCACCGACGACTTTCATGAACGGCTGGAAGAGAGCTTGAGTTAGAAGAGGCTCTTCCATTTCGTGCAGATAACTTTTTAAGACGGATGCACAATCGTGGACGCTGAATTCACCCTGATGTAGATCGACAATTTCTCCAGCACACAAAAGTGCACGCAGTTCTGCTTGACGTATTACGCTACCCGTTTTTCGAAACAGACCTTCTTCTTGACAGTCTGAAATCACACAGTTAGAAAACATCGTACATAACTTATTGGAATTTTTCATAAGCGTTAGTCTTCCGGCTTAATCGACTAAAAAAAACAGTCAATGCACCCCTCTACGATGTACTATAGTACCGATAAAGGGGATGCTTTCAAAGCTGTTTGTTTCAATGAAACAGAACCAGAGCTTGTCGTCAAGTGAATCATTTTGAACCACAGACTGTTCAAGTATTTACACGTAAAAACCTCAACGGTCAAGCAATAGACACTTTAAGCAAATATCATAAAAAAAAAAACAAAAAAAACAGAAAAAATACAGATCTGCATTCAGTTTTTACCGTGTTACATTATACGACTGCTGCGGCAGCGATTGGTGCACAGCTATATCTACCTTGGGGCCACGCCTATGTGATTTAATCTGATAGATTCAAGGGACTTCAAAAAGGCATTGAACATCATCGAAACATTTTCTTCACATAAGTATTGTTATAGCACTGCTGAGTGCTCTTCAACACATTGCAGATTTCCGATAACGATGGTCCCAGCATGATCGGCTCTGAAACCGTAAGTGCAGTGCTCACTACTTCATCATCCTACCGTAGCAAGCAGCTGCTAGGGGTTGATATTCCGCTATACTTGTGACATGTGGGAAGACTTCGCTTCAAGCGGGCGCAAAGGCAAGGCATCATTGATCCGTCACAACGGGTTCAGACTTTTTGTGCTTGGACACGAGCCAGTATGCGCCTTCCGATAACGACATCTGATCATCGGCCATCAAAAAGAGAAAGAGTCCGAGATGCAGGGGATGCAATAAAAAAACAGTAAGTTTGACAAAAGTAAATAGCTTTCAGCAACGGCAACTTCACCGATGGCCAAAATGGGGAAAATAGCAGCGAACTAGATAATGGCATTTTTTGACTTCGTAACAAAAGCTTTTATCATTTTTCATCAGCTCATCATCAAAAAGAGCCCACGTGAATTACTCACTTAGCTTAATCGTTCCCCATAAAAATTCGTTGAGAGCATTTTCATTGGTCAACGCGAGTAAATAACCAGAATGACTCAGCCAGACTCGTCTTTCGCTTCGGCGATATGCGACGGCCATGAAGGGTGAGATAATGTAACAGCTGAGAGAAGTCTCATACCCAATTAAACAACCGAGCTATGCTATACCCATTTGTGGTAAATGATTTAAAGTGCACGCTGCGAAAGACAAATACACAATGTACTATAATATATAATTTTTATTCGCAATGGCCAATGCCGATCGTGGACCGATTGACACGCTCAAGTACGACCACTGTGAACACACACACACACACACCCACACACACACACACAGCTTCTCTTTCCTATTATTCATTCTAAAATACAGGCTTTGCGAAGCAACATGCTCTGCTTCCTCAAAGCACGTATCACCCCGTGATAACATACAAATGACTATATCCGGATCGCACAGCATAGGTATCGATTAGGCCCAAATACAATCAGAGCAGTAACACCGTGGACAACGGCAGTTAATGATCCCTAAGAAAACCAACGCCTGCCCGAGCAGTTGCACATTTGTTGCCTTTCCCCCTAAGTACCGTCTTTTCCTACTATACTGGTCAGCGGGAGTGTACGTCCACGCTAGCCCACATGGAACGATTACGGACGCTGGCTACACGAATGTAGACGACGGTTTTGCGCTTTTCACGAGAGTTCACCCCAGTTTCAAAAACGCCTCGTATGAGAAACGCGATTGCACTAACTACAACTGGGTGTACGACCTATGCTGTGCATCGACGGTGGATTGGCCGACCTGACTAGCCGATCAAGCAGGAGATATCACGACGACACTGCTGATGTCCGCTGCCCCTTGTACAGTCGACATCGATGAGCTTTTGCTTTATCTCTTCGGAAGCCGTATCCATGAATTAGTACCAATAGCACTGGATAAAAGGCATAATCCATGGCCGCCAGTGAAGCTTATTCCTATGGATGGCGCTAAGTCGAGTCCCCATTTTTTACCCGCACGAATGACCAAGCTCTTCGAACTGATGGACGGTGACACAACGGTGCGATTGACCACTGCCAGGCCCCCTGGAGTAATAGTGATACTGTGACGATAGGCGGCTACTTCCCCAAGCAAAAACAACAAAAGAGGCGGGGTACAGCGTAAGCACCAGCAGAAAAGTTAATATTGAGAACTTGCTGCCACTGCTACTAGAATACTTCTGCTGCTGCTGCTGCTGCTGCTGCTGCTGTTGTTGTTGTTGTTGTTGTAGCCTGCGACACTTTCGAATGTAGCGAGAGTAACGAAATCCCACCAGGTGATGCTGCCGGATCGACTGGGAGAACACTGGCAAGAGATTTAGGACAAAGGCAGCCGATGGGCCATGAAATAGAATGGGTATATCACAAACCCATCTTTCTGCCCCCTTCTTTCGCTATTCTGCCTGTTTGAGCCTTCCGTTGCATAAGTCTACGGTTTCAGAGCGACTCTACAGCTCCGCTCACGAAATTGCTACGCTTCATGGGAACTTCATGGTGATTAGAATGAACAGTATTCGGAAATATCACGAATGTCATCTTAATTGTTAACCTTTATTGTGTCTAGTCGTGATGAGTAAACTTGGAATGCTACTTGGGACTTTATTATATACCATAATTCTTACACGATCTTATTTTTGGGGTTGAAGAATTCCAGGAAACTAGTTAGATTGATGGCGCAATCAGACATTTTGTCGAACACATGGGAATTTAAGGGAAAAAGGTAATCATCAGCGTACGTCCGTCTAAACGTAAAATTATTTTAACACAGCGAGTTATGCGTACTTCAACAGTTCGCTCGCTATCTGGCAGGCCTTTCAATCTTCCTGGATTCACGATTTGATCACGTAAATCACTCTAGATCGAAACAGTTCTCACATACAGTACGAAACAGCGGCTTACGGTGAGGGCATCCGCCAAGACAAAAATAACGCACAGACTTTTTGGCCACATATAAACGCTCAGATCTGAGAGGTGTCTCAGCATCGGAGCTACGAGATTCGTTTTAGGGGCTCACCTAACACCATGTCTGACTTAGACATGGTTTTCGTTTACAGAATTATCCTTCGTCACTGTTTCTAGTCGGGCGAATAGTCATTAGCTCTTCTCCGTCCCTGTTAAAGTATGACTTTTTTTTTGCAGCAACATCCATAGAGCAAAGCGTCTTTCTTCAGCTGAAAAACTTGTGGTTCGACCATTTTGAGCGACGAAAAGCGTAGAGTGTCATGGTGACCCCACGGCAAAATCTCCGCTCCAGCCGACGGGAAAGCGCCACGAGCGAGTGATGGCCAAAAAGAACCTGGCGACAATACGGAAGCGGAACTCTTGGGAAAATTTTTCCCATTGGCCTTTCGTTGCTCTGTAAAAACGACCCAGCAAGTGAAAAAACTAACATTGGCACATGTTTGTAATATATCAACCATGTTTGTAAGCTACAAGCTGGACAACCAAAATGGTTGCAGTAGTGTTGAATAGAAGGGCGCAAGAAAAAGAGTAGAAGATTCACACAAAATACCGTTGTAGATTGTTGAAATGTATATAATAATCTCGAATCTCGTATAGGATTTTACCGAAAAAGATGCAGTCAAATGCCTTCTTAAATTGGACTTATTAAAATACGAAGGTAAATGTACGCTTGTGACGTTCTTTATAAATTCATAATACTTACTTTGGTCAATCATGAGGTAGTCTATTAGCTGCGATACTTGAGCGATTCCTTCAGTTGTTAACGGGGATCCCCAGGCAACTGCAATACGACAGTCATATATAATATAGATTAAATTTGAAAGGCTTTGGTGCGTGCAGAAAAACACAAATTGTATTTATTCGATTTCTAAAAAACTACATATATATATATATATATATATATATATATTGGGACAATTATAAACATTATCAAAAACAATACTACCTATGATATGTTGTTTTCAAACTAAAGCATAAAAACATTTTCCTAAAACGCAAAACTGAGCTAGAGATTAAGTGGTCGTTTCCTAGACTCTTCTTCATACCCTACCCCCTAGACTTATAAGTCTACGACAAATGTATCTACGTTAAACATCTCTTTTTTGATACTATACGAACAAAACAACGGCTTTAAACATAACAACATCACCAGAATTTAACGGACAACCTTTCTTGGACATTCAAATATCAAAGAGCCTCTATACAGTCCGCTGCATATAGGATCATCTCAACGGATAGGATTATTATTATGCCCGAATACTCGTCGTGAGAAGAGCAGCAGGGTTGAAGACAGCAGACGTTGCAGAAAACAAAGTTTGGCCAGAAGAAATCAAATTGGCCCCCACTGGGGTCCTGCCCCATTAAAACTAGACTGTAATCGTAACAATAATAAAACCAAACGATCAGAGAAATCAGCAGTAATATAATCCTGAACCCGCACAATTCAGCTGCCACTGGCGTGATGAGGCCACTGCCCACGAACGATTTGTTTGAAGGTATTGTTGGTACAGACAATACAACGAATAACGCTAAGTTAATGGGTGAACGCCATGTCAACGAATACTGGATGAGACTCTAAAGGAACGTTGTATAGGAACAGGCGATACATATTCCCTGTGTGTGTGTGTGTGTGTGTATATATATATATATATATACGACCGTAAGTTGTCCATAGAGGAATATCGCTGACGAGATATACTGCAGACACGTTTTTAGGCTTCCACTAAATGACACACAGACAAATTACCTGTACGCTACAATAGCGTCTCATTTATATACGTGTAGCATTAACAAACACGAGTGGTCGTTTTTAAATATCTAAATCAAAGGTTTATAACACTAATGTCACTGAAGGAAACTATCGTCAGCGGGCGTCCCATGTGTTCATACTTTCGAATGGCTGAGCCACTTTTGCCCTTGTCGCTCCAATTAAAGCCGCGCGCAAACGAGAAAAACTAGCGTCAAATCGCTAGACGGCTCCCCGTCGCTTCTTGTACAACCATCGTTCGACAGGTGTCACGGCCCAAGATGCTGTTACTACTGTTGCCGGCGTTGTAACTCTAGAGTCCTGACAATTGCCAGGTGTCCTAACGGCAGTTCCGCTGACCCTCATCCGGTGCACAACGCTTCACCTTATTGTCAATGAAAGTGTCCGCAACGCGCTCGCTGCTCTTAGCCTAGAGGGCCTTGGTTTCTGTGAGGCATCGATAAAACTTTACGCAGATAATTAACATTTTTAACAATCACAGGTTATTAATCTGTGTGAGGTACGTGCGGAAGGAAAGAAACAACTAAAGGAAATAACGTCATGAGCCAGTAATGTGACGTAGGCACATATCGAAGCGTCCGCCCCTTAATGATGGGTCTTCCGCCTCCGCAAACGGAAGGAACTTAAATCATCTAATCGGAACGGACGTGGCCATTATCGCCTAGATGAAAACGTCTTTTTGTCCCGGATCTTTTCTGCAATGAGGTCCCATCAGAGCGGCTCTTGGCTCGGAGCGATCTTTCATAGCGATACCCGTATGCAGTAGCTGATCCAATATAACTATATGTTTATGCTAGTAAGCAATGGCAACGACTAAATCATGGAATGCGCAGCGTACCGATACATGTTTCCCACTCATAGTCATTCCAGCTAATCGTTACTAAGTAAATCGAGGAGGCTATGGGGAAATCGAAATCAGAGCAGGACTCAACAAGTCATGAGAAACTGACCCCTAACATACACCTTCGATGTGCTATGTTTTCAAATGATTATACTTCATATTCTCCCCGCTGGCTGCAGCAAATGAAAAATAGAAAAAGTCGAGAAAATGATAAACGCATGTCAACGAAAACACCAATAATTGTCCTGCTTCGTTACATATAGTATGTTTTATGTATTCGTGCTGAATCATCATTCCCGTGCCGTCTGTAGCATAGATTACAGTTAGACGCTAACAGCATCCGAACGCTGATAGCATATTGTATCGTTCAGCATCCTCAAGGTTTTTCGACTGGCTGCTTCCGTTACCTATGTCATTTAAAACTGACTATCAGATATCGGCTTATCCTAGACAGGTCAATTAAGGTTGACTGTAACTCAAATTGAGTATTGCATTTGTCTTTTTCTGTTATTGTTATCACCGTTGGAACCAGAGCACATACTACCACATACGCCATAAACGAATGGCAGGTCAGCATTGTTCGATAGGACCGGAATTATATGTTGCCTAGTTTAGATAAATCAATCCAACTGCTAACGATTCGCCTTAGCCAGAGCACCTGCATGACTGTCTGCGCCTACTGTTGCTACCTGATATTGCTGCGCCTCTTGCACACCATACAAGAAACTCTATCATTATTTCGAGGTGTCAGCCTCGAAGATCTATTGATCAGGTAGCTTGATCAAAGTCGCTGCGGGCAGCGCGACCACGCGTGTAAGAACAGCCTCTAGTTGCAGGAGACTCGTATCTAGGGGTGATTCGACGTCAAGATGAAAAAGTGGTTTTGCTCGCAGGACTCCATTACAATCAGTAAACAACTACATTATATTAGCTAAGGGGTCTCTGCGCTGATAGGAAAACAAGCTTGACCAGTAAATAATGTCATCCCTGACAGGTACGGCCGTAAATAACCCGTGGTTTTTGCCGAAGTACTACTGCTACTGATCGTTACAGCAGCCGCAGTAATAGCAGCAGTACATACAGGTGTTGCTATTTGGTGCTAGAAGAGACGACAAAGAGCCAAAACAAGATGGCGGGACACAGTAACCAAGACTAGCCACTGAGAAAATAACAGTTTATACCGCTCAAACATGGCTGGCCATCGCAAACATTTATTCCCATCACTAAGATTAGCATAAATACGTCCAAAAAACATAATTGTAACGGAATTTTCCTGACGTTCCTACGTTAAATGAATAGACGCACCTTGTCATAGGTATACAGTTGTCTTTTGTCTCTGCCGATAAAGCTACCCAACCGATGGAAGCAAACTCTTTCAGAATAGAGCAAAGGCTATAAATCTTATTCTCAGTGATATCGTTTTTGCAGGAAGAATTCATTTTCCTTCCATTGGTCGTCTTCGAGTATCTTTTTGAGGGTATCGTTTAAGGCATCACAACTGCATTGCCTAAACTGATTTCTCCAAGTCTAGGAGTGCTCGCTCACTTTCGCTCACAGTTTAAATCACCTTAGAACATCGATGTCTGGTGGCGCACCATATGATCAGGGCCAGAGTGATTTTATAACCCAAAAAAATGCATAGCATCTGGAATACCACTGCTATTACCTGTATGGGCGAGGCGACTCTCAGGCTCGACGAGCAGCGCCCTGAATCTCGCTAGTGGGGCATCTCGTTTCGTCTGTTAATTTTTTTCCGATCCTGACTCTTGCAAAGGCTAGTCAACTTAATTTCGACTCTGGGATGTTCGTGTATCTACTGTAATGTCAGATGGTTCGTTCTCAGCTCTTCTTGCATAGCGGAGAGTTACTTGAATCGGGTCGTAGCAAACAGCCCGAAGCGGCTTATTGTCTGTAGTTCATAGCCTGAGGTATATGACTATGCTGCAAACTGTTAAAGGAACGGATTGTAGCTATTTAACTGAGCGAACCATGCGAATTGCTGGTCTTCGCAACTTGTTCAATATTCCACAGAAGTAGAAGATGCGCAATGTAAACCGTTTACCTAAAATAAGCGGGCAAAATTTTGCTTCGAGACTTTGATAAAAATCGCGTTTCAACAACAGCTTCTGTCCTGCCACCCGCTGTCATGAGGATGATGAAAAGGCTATTGGCATTCCAAGGCACAGGCGTTATCCGACGACTCTTGCGAGGGCTGTGACGAATTCTGGCAAGATGAACAAATTTCTCCAGTCTTATATATATATATATATATATATAGATATATATATATATATATATATATATATATAGATATATATACATGATGTTTAAGAGCGAAGTTTGACAAAAATTACACCACACTGGATGGAGCTCGTACCGTAACGGCGACTTCGAGACTCCAACAAATAGCTCATTTGAACGAGGCAACATCAATAGATCCCTAAATATCAGAGACCAAAACGAAAAGTGCATGTTGGCCACTAAATAATATGTGTCGATCAAATCAGAAGCCCGAAAGATAATGATTTCCAACCTATGATGACTAAACCTATGATGATGATGACTTAACCACCGAACTGAGAATTCCTTGTGACATGCAAATTTTCAATAACTGTGACCTTTTTTAAGCTAAGTTGAGTTTTGTGCTGTGCACGAATTGCTTTCATCATCTTCAAACAATCAAAACTTTTTCGAGACGACAATAAAACTATAGGTAGGGACGGGCCTGCTACCGGTACTCAAAGCCACGTATTATCCCCAAAAAAAGACCTGTAAACGTAAGTGTTGCCCAACGCTTGCTTGATTCGCTACTGATGGGCTCACTTTCTCAAACCTTCGGTATAACCCGCATCCATTATAAGTTGAATTCAAGCCAGAACAGGTTATTCGGCTGTGGGTACGATTTAAACAATGCTACCACCGGCCCGGGGATGCCCCACCGAAAGCACTCACGCGGAAGTGCAAGTTCCGGTCCGAACCACATTTCTTTGTTTAATCCTAACGTTCTCTATATAGCTATCCAGTGCGACGAACGACGAGAAAGACGCTAAGAATTAGACCGCCTGCAAATTCAGCTGGGCACCCTAGTTCTTTTTTCTATAACATTTCAGAAAGACTAAAAACGATAAATGAGTATTTGAATGGATACATATTTTTCGGCCTATCGAAATAC